ATCAGATTTTCTTTCATAAAACAAAATAGTTAAGATGTCTGGTTTTCCTGCATGGTTGGATTTCATTCAGAAAGATTTTATTTTCAGTGAATACTCTTCAATGGAAATAGAGTAGAGTAAAAAGCTGACTTGGAGTGGCTTGGAGTTTGGGTGATCTACTACTCATTGTATCAGTGTAACCGTTTATTGTTTGTGTCTGTACTGTGTCTTTGTGCCTGTCTTTCGTTGTCTTCAATGTCAAATTTTCTCCTGTCATGTTATGCCATCATCATAAAATAAAGGCGAAGCTGTGAAAGAACAGCAGCAATTTTCAGTATGTGAAAAGCCGACATGCTCAACAGATGCAGAAGACGTGAGGCAGCCATCTCCATATATCAGTATATCTCCGGCCTAAGTAATGTAGATATAGATTTTTCTGTTGAAAAGAACAATGATGCAAAAAATGTCAGTGTTGTTTCTTCGTTATCTATCCTTCTAACAATTGGGAAGTCAGAGCTTGCAACCTTGGCACCTCATTGACATCTAAAAAGTATCCATTAGTATTTATTAATGATGGCTAAAAGGCACATCCATCCACATATTTCATTTGTATTTGTCCCTCTAAAAGGCACAGCAGGAGAGAACAGTGGTGACACTTAAAGATAACAAACAATGTGCAGATCTGCCTCTTGACACTCGGAAATTAAAAAAAAAAATGTGGTCGTAGGTCGCCCAAATGTCCTCTCGATACATAAAAAAGGAGGCTGGTGAGATTTGGTTTGTGTTAAGTGTTACAGAATGAGAAATGTATGCGTCGTCAGAGTATAGTAATTAGTTTGTCCCTGGAGGCATGTGTGACTGAGCTCTAAGGCTTAAACGGAGTAAATGATAAATGGACTTTAGACCCTTTCTAGTCTTCTGACTACTGAAAGCGCTTTCCCATTCTCACACTGATGGCAGAGGTTGCGATGTAAAGGTCCCATCAGAAGTAACTAATCCTATTCATACATTCATACACATTCATACGTGGCCGATAAAGCAGCAGGAGCAATACGGGGTTAAGCAACATGTCCAAGGACACATTGGACATGTTGCTGCAGGAACTGGGGATTGAACCGACTCTTCCTCAGCTCCTCTTTATGTGGGCAACAGGAAAATTATTTTAAGTAGTTGTAGTATTCTGTTGGGAATTTCTCTATATCAGTTGTCTTTTATTTTTATTTTTTAGTTAGAAAAACCACAGACGTAAACACAGGAAGTGGATTCTTATCGTGCTTATTCAAAGGCAGTATCAGTGTCTGAGGCTTTGAAGTGTGGCCAAATCATATCCCATTTGCTTATTGTGCTTCACATATTTCTCAGGCATCTTGTATACATGAACTGCATATTTGTAAGGAGACTTCAGAGGACTCATAAACTGAGCGGATGCATTTGTTATAATAAGAAATAAGGATTTAATCAATTCTGCTATTGGTGTAGTTTTTTCAGTAATTGGTTTTCTATTTCTAAACACTTGAAAATACTGAATTCAAGATGAGATTAAATGTTTGAAATACATTTGGAATGTTTTCATGAATTCAGAATGTAGTTTTGCCACATATTTACACAGGATAAACTAGTAGAGGCGGCTGTGGCTCAGTTGGTAGTCGGTCGTATCTAAACCAGAAGGTAGGGCGTTTGATCCCCAGCTCCTGTATCCACATGTCCAATGTGTCCACTTAACCCCGAGTTGCTCCTGCTGCTTTGTCGGCGTAGTGTGAATGATGAATATGATGAGTTACTTCTGATGGTCACTTAACATAGCAGCCTCTGCCATCAGTGTGTGAATGAGTAGGTGTGTCATGTGGTGTAAAGGAGCTTTTAGTAGTCAGAATACTAGAAATGCATTCTACAAGCTCAAGTCCATTTACCAAATTCATAAATGATTTTATCACTTTGCAGTTGCCACCTAACAGCCCAGTTGGGGTTATTATTTATTTCCTAATTTAGCAGCTCAAATGCTTAGCAATCAATCTATCAATTATATTCATGAAGCACCAATTTATAACAAATGTTCTCTCAAAACACAAATAGAGCAGGCCTAGACTGAACTCTTTGTTATACTAGTTACCCAACATTACTCCACCATGATCACATCACTTAGCAACATTTATCAGCCACAGTAGCAAGGAAAATCTTCCCTTTAACAGACTGAAACCACGAGCAGGACCAGACTGATGTTGAACAGCCAGAGAGAGAAACAAAAAGAGAAACAACAACAACAACAACAACAACAACAGCTAATACAGACTTGCAGCTACTGTACAGTGCCAATAGAGGTAGAAGTGTTTGTACCATTAGCAAGAATAACAAAGTAGTGAATATACAATGAAAATAATTATTATATTTATAAGAGTTAAAGTCAACAGGTCTAATATAAGCATTTACAATTATGATGATGATGATAAAAGGACTGATAATATCAACTATAGAAGTCTTTGGTGAGCAGCTCAGGGATAATAAAACATTACAGCTGTAGCAGTTGGAGTCAAGCAGGTCCACAGAAGCAGGCGGTCCACAGAGACCTTTGAAATGATGTAGCTCAAGAAGTCTGAGGAAAGTAAATGGTTAGTAATGTTGATGGAATTTGAAGATTTAAAGTTAGTGACTTTAAATCATTATAACTAGGGGCTGCACCAAGCCTGAGCCAGCCCTAACAGTAGTTTAAGCTTTAACAGATATGACAGTTTTTAAAGTCTCTACTCCTAAAAGAGAGGGTGTGTCTGCCTCCCTGACCCTGATTAACAGTTATTAGCAGCATATTCAATTCACTCACACTGTACCGCATACTTTCAAATAAAAAAATAAGCAAAATGCTTTAAAACATATATGAAACATTGTGCCACAGTTGCAGACATGCTTCATCAGGGCATGAAGACAGCATGCGTGCTTGTCTTTTTTCACCCTAAAATATTTTTGCTCTTGTCCAGGCAGGACCTTGCTTGACATCAGGAATGTACAAAGACTATTTCTGTTTCATAATGATACTGGACAGAGATATTCAAACTGTCCTCAGCTCCCGCACTCAGACATCTTATCCACAGTAATGTGAGCGTCCTCATTTATTTCAGTGGCTGAGTGAGAGAGCTCGGAGTGTTTTTTATAGAGCTCTGTGAATCTACAGCGACAGTATGCAGAATGGCAGAGTGACAGGTCCACACAATCCACTCATACACCACATACTGGAAACAGACACACAAATAAACACATGCATTAAATGAAAACAAAGGCCACAAAGCATCCATGCAGCCCTTTGATGTTTTCTTGTAAACACTAAATGGTGCCCTGCTTTTCACAGCTAACATTTCCAGCAGTAAAAACGCTCCCAAGTTAAATTTGTTTCTCTTCTTTCTGTCCTTATTTGTTATTGTTGACAGCAGACCACACCTAACATCACTATTTGATTTTCTCCTTAAGGTCACATTTATGTTTTTGTGATTTCCAATCTTCCCTTTGACCAGAATCCCAGAAAATTGGCAGACATTATTTAGGAGTTGATGAAGAAGGCTTTTATTTCTTCAGTGTGGGAGAACATTTCATTTACATTTTATAATCTGGAACAAAATCAGCTTACAGTACCATATTATGCTTCTGGGCCTGCCACCACTTCATATTTGACAACCACCCCCAATTTCCTGCATTACTGTCCTTCCCCCTTTTCCTTCATGTGATTATGATGCTCATCGTTGCGTTTTGTCCCAAAGGGGTGTGGCAGGAGTGACCAGAACACTGAGTCATTGTGTTGTTCCAGGAGCTGTGAGGGCTGCGGACTGGCCTTGGGTCCAGTGTTTTCAAATCATAATGTGAAAGGATAAGACAGGAAGGGTGGATGACCAATGTTTCTTGAGACAAAAACAAGAAAACATGCAGAAGCAGATACATAAAAAATATGAGTTTTTAGAAAATAAAAGAATAATTCAGATCTACTTGTTATGAAGTGCGTTCTTATCCTGCATTCCTGGTCAAAGAGTGCAACATTTTCCCTTTTTTTCAAATATGCAGAGACAAAGACATACAACAGATAACAGAGCCGGACAGGCAGAGAGCCAGAGTTAGTCTGAGGGGACATAACTCATCACACCCTAACACACCCTACTCTGTTATTATCCCCCTACATCCATGTCTGTCTTTCTTCATCAGCACATCTGAAAAACCCTAAGGTTCAGTAGAATAATTCTTAAATTCAAATCTGATGGTCATGTTTTTTTAGTCTCGCCAGCAGAAAGACAATTTCTGTATGTCGCGGTACATGTTTAAATACCTTTGGCCAAAATGATTAAAAACTGAAAGATGTCTAAGTAATAAGCTCTCTTTCTACTTGTCCTTGTTTCTTAACTGACATTAGTTATTAAAAAAATGACACTGAGTACACGACTGGGAAAAAAGCAGCAACATGCATGCTATGTGTCCACATTCACACATCAGTCTTCCTGATGCCACATCTCCCCACAGAGGCTCAGCCATGCATGTATACATTAACCCCGAGGTCTGCTGCCGTGGCCTTTGCTGCGCTATATAAAGCAGGGCCTAAAAGTGGCTAGCAGGCCCTGGGTTCAGGTCAAAGGGAATGTGAAACCATAAACCAGGAGGCTAGCTAGCCTTGAGACCAGTAATTACACACTGTGTTTACTTGGATGTTTGCTGTCAGGCTGCCTGACTATATGTTTAATGACGAGCACCGACTGCTTGTATTTGTGTAGCTATTCTCTCAAAAGGTCATGAGGTTGAGGACAGTGTCTGTGCAATTTACTGTGAGCTGCCAGGGAGATAAAAGGGACTGACTCCAGGTTTCCTGTTGTTTAGCTCTACTGTAGCTTACAATGGATTCAGCTTAAATGTTAAAAGAAAATAGTTTCTGATGACTTGTAGCCAATGGTTATTGCCATAACTGATAATATTTATCTTTAAAGAGATGGATTAGGACTTTGAAAGTGAGGTTATAAGGTATTTATCAATAGTTAGTGTACTGCATTTAGTAGATAATGGTCAGCACAGCCATTGAGAAGCTGGCACAAATACCTACACAGAAGCTAACCAAACAGTTTGTACAGGTCGCTGGTTATATTATTCATTTTAAAGGTCACATATTATCCTCCATTTCAACAAGTTTAAATAAATCTCAGCGCTCCCTTAAACATTTCTTTAAAGTTTCTTGCACCAGCCCTGCTCAGAACAGGCTGATTCTGTGTCTGTAGCTTTAAATGCATATAAACTGTTTCTGACCACGCCCCTCTGAAAGGGGATGTAGCTTGGGCTTTCTTGCCCCCATGCCCTACTGTTTACAATGGAAGGGCAGACTTAGAGGGCAGAACAAACACCTAGCTGTGGGAGTGTCACCCACCTGGGGGAGGGGTTACTGACCTTTGTGATGTCACAAAGGGAAAATCTCCTAACCGCTTGTTTTTGCACACATTATCTGAAAAGTGGAGCAGGCAAAAGAGAGAGGATGGACTTTTTTCATAATTGGGGGGTTTGCAGACAGGCTACAAAACCATTGTAAAGTCCTGCATATTAAAAGGTTGTAGTTTAGGTGTAAGTGTTTTTGAGAATGGAATGATATATATTTTTAACTACTTGACCTTGAAGTCAGGACATCCCTTTGTATAAGCCGTCAGCTGTTTGGTCAGTTTGTTGGCAACACAGAGTGAAATCGCACTTCACTTTTCTTAACCACAGTTTGTGCATGCTTAGATCATATAGCTTACTGTATACTGTTCACAGCTTCCTACATTTCATCATTGTTTTTCTCACCTTTTTTTCTTTTATTCATTTATCTTCTTAATGAACTGAAGAATAATCTAGGTTGTCAGTTTAAGACCTCGTAGAGATTTTTCTAACTCCATTGGCTTGTCTATAATCTTCTACCATTGATGAGGAGTTGAATGTGGGAGTAGATGAAAGGACAGTACAGTTTATATTACAATTTTTATGTTACAAAGTTTAAACTACACCACATAGTATGACTGGAATTTCTGATGTGGAGTTTAGAAATGTAAAATTTGGACTGACGACAAGTTGTCAAAGTTGTGCATGTCTTTGCACGTACAGTTTCAGCCATGACTTCTGTGAAAATGATGTTGTGTGGACCATTAATGAGCTCTTCTTTTCAGAACCTTGATTCTTTGGAGGGCTCGATCCAGAACCTGCTGTCCGTGCTGTATCCGCCCTTCGAGGCCACTGCCCCCATTCTTCTAAGCCAGCTCTTCCTAACCATTGAAAGCCGTTATCAGGGGGACTCCCTACGGTGCCTGCTGGACTTCTTGGTCCCAGCTAAGCACATCTTGGACACCGTGCAGCAGGCTGCATGTGTAAGTCACATATTGATATCTATAGGAGCTAAACCTGTGCCAGTCCAAAGCTACAAACATTCACTGTATTTGATTTCAAGGAACAATATCTTACTGGACTTGATGCTTCATCAACAACAGACTAAAGTGTATATTTATACAGTATGATTTGTTTCAAACCTCATACAGTCATTGCTGTGTACCCTTCAGGCTCCCTACTCTGATGTTCTCTTCCTGTGTGAGGGCTGGCCTCTGTGTTTGGGTGACCAAGTTGTTGTCAACCTAGCTCCCATCGACCCCCAGCAACTTCAGCCTGGTGACTTTTACCTGCAGGTGGCACCGTTTTGTGACCACTCAGCTCGTATTGTGCTCTGCAGCCTCCTGGAAGAGGAGGGACTTATAGCGGAGTTAGTTGAGGAGACCCCAATCCCTGAGACTTCATACCCTTGTATATTCAGCTGTGACTGGTTAGAGGATATCAACCAGGGCCGACATGGAACTCCTCTTAGCCAATGCCTGCTGGCCACCGAGCAGGGCGTGGTGAGGTTACCATGGGGACGGGTGGCTGTGCCTGATTTTGTGGATGTGCCAGTGTGTGCTGGGAGTAGCATGGCCTCGGCTCTTCCGTCACATACTCCTTTAGCTCCTCTGCTTCCTCATCCACCACCTGTTCCTCATCCTGACAGCTCTTCTTCAAATCTTTCTTTTCCTCTTTCTCCTTCAGAAGAGTCTGCACCCAAACATTATCCTATAACCATTAAGAATCCTATCTTAACCTCTCCTTCACATCCCTTCTCTGTTGAGACAAGAATATGTCCAGCCAAGCACGGCATTGCTGTGTCACTCTGCCTAGTGGACTCTAGGACTGCTTCTTCATCAAGGCTGATCAAAGTGCAAGAGGCCGAAACAGAGCCTAAGCCGATTGGTCAGGTGTCCCCTAATTCATGGGACAACTGCTCAACGAAAGTAGATCCAAATAAAGCTACAAAAACAAGCACTGCTGCAGGTCCAAGCTCTCCGGCAAGTGTAGATACAAATGGGTGTAAAAGTGAAGATATAGGCAAAGAAAGAAATAAAACTGCAAACATAAAAGATATAGACAGGAGTGGACCAGTTAGTCAAGTTTCTGCCGAGGGGGAATATATTGATATTCTGCAGGCAACTATGCTTTTTAGCCAAGCTCAGAAGGTAAAAGAAGACAAACAGAAATTAGAAATGCAAATGCAGTCAAATGCACAAATCAAACCACAAATCCAAAGATATCCATACAGATGCGCACAAATGCAAACACAGATGCAGTTGAACAGGCAGACGCAAAGACAGCCAAACACACAGATACCATCTCAAGCACAGTCACTGGCAAATGTGAATTTACATTCAGAATCGCAAAAAGGTCATTGTAGATCAGAGGCAGCTGTATCATTGAGGCCCAACATGTCCACAGAAGAGCGACCTCCATCTGGTCTCCATCATTCCCAATCTAATCATCCACACCCTGACACTCTAGATAATTCTCAGTGTGTCCGCACTGTCCGATTCTCAGAGAAACCCTGCACCCCCTGCATGAGGAGAAGACAGGGCGGAAAGGTGTCCCGAGCTCAGGAGCTGAGGTGTCGGTACAGGGATTCCTACCAGGCTGCTATACAAAACCCTGTTGCCTTTGGACAGGGGAAAGAGAGGGGGAGTATGTTAGCTGTGATGGAGGAGGATGGTGAACTCTCAAAGTGCAATGAAACACAGAGGCGTCCAGGGACTGAAACAGGGGGACCATTGTGTAATGTAAAAGGAATGTGGTTTGATCCTGAAATGCAACAAAAAACTGCTTCATCTGTCAGTGGAACGATATGTAAGGAGTCGGGAGAAAAAAACACTATTCCATACTGGAAACCAGGAGATTCAATCACTGCCCCCTGTATGGATTACAGAGAAACTAATGTTTTACAAACTGTCGGGATGCCTAATCAGACAACTGAGAGGACCATTCTGCCATTAAAGGAACCAAGGGACACATATTCTGCCCAAACTTATGGCAACTTTCACAATGTAAACTTGGCAAACTTAGCAGCAGGAAGAAGTTTAAACACTAATAGAGATCAATTAAGCACAAATAATACTCAGCAGTCTGATGTGATCTCTGCAAAACACCACACTTTGCCAATAGGTCCAAGTCAAATTGCAGAAAGTAACATTAACCCAAAACCTCAGGAAAGGTTACAAAGCAGAAGCAATTCCATGGGAATGAGTCCAAACTTTTCTAATTCCCAATCAGCACCACCGAACAGGGTATCCATGTCAGATGGAAGATGTTCATCGCTCTCCACAGCTGTGGTGGACATCTCAGAGAAGTGTGAGCTTGTCATTGTTGAAGGTCAAAAAGTTCGGAGAAGAGAAGCTGCTGACTCCTGTGTAGAGATCCCTCAGCTGCATGTAGTGAAATGTAAACACAGCACAGCCTTTCGACTGGTGTCACCTAAGATCAGCAGGAGGAACAAGGTCATGGCAGGTACAGAGAACTGACCAGTAATGAGAAGTTGTATTCCATATTTTAGACTTAGACATTGATGTTTACTTCTGAATATCCGTTAGGTTCCCTACAAAAAGTGTATCTTCTTTTGACAGACGGTGCTCAGCATGGCTGCATGACCTCAACCAGTAGAAATAGCCATCAGACGGAGAAACCGTCACAGACAGATGCACCTCTGGCAGCAGAGACTCCAAAGATCTCACAGCCCGCTTCTGCTCGTCCCAGACCAGACCACCTTCCCCTGGGAGCCCCAGACCCCAGAGCCCACCCCCTTTATTTAGGAGTAGCTTCTCTTACAGGTAAGTTAATTGGGGTGCAATAAATAGCATTAAAAAAGACAATGAACGAAGTAATCCACATGTATTGTTTGGTAGTTTTTCAAACAGTACAATGTTCCCCGGAGTGCTTAATGGGTGACATGTAAAAATAACATTACAACAATAAGTTATTCAACGATTTTTTAATTGAATTAATATTTAACATGAGAGGCGCCTGTAGTCTGATTAGTACGGACAGATTTTTATTATTAAGGAAGTAGATAATTGTAAATATTTAGTTGTTTTTATTTACCCTCCATATGTTCATTTGAAAAAAAGGAAGATTTACCCACGAACAGTATCTCTCTGTCTTTTTGTCCCTTTTAACCATTTTTCCTTATCTTAAATGGTGCTGCTTTTCTTTTTTTTCTATCTTTTTTTGAGTACTTGAGAACTTTGAGTTCAAAAACGTTTTTAAAACTGTCTAGTTTCAGATTATTCTTAATTATATTTTCTTTCTCGGGCCCTTTCAGGCGGCAGGGACAGGACAGGCAGGGTAATTATTGAACTCTTTGGAGACCACCAGGGATGGAGATCAGCTGTTACAAGCCAGGAGCTCTACAAGATGCTGCTTTACTTCCACTCTATCACCAGGTTACATCTGCATGCCAGTAAATTAATGAATGAATGAATCAAGAAACAGACAAGCTAAATTCTAAATCACTCTGAAAGGAGGTTTAGCAGTTTTTTTTTGTTGGGATATTTTTTTGTTGTGTACCTATTCGTCTTTTTTCTCTGTTTACAGGACAGAAATCAGAGAAGCTGGAATGATTCTCATTTTTGATGCAAGGAAGACGAATCCTCCACCACAACTGTACAAAGCCTTGATGACACTTCAGGTAAGAAGCCAGACACTTCTCCATATCATCTAAACAAAGCAGGTCTTAACTGATATATGGGTCTCTTTCCTAGCTGGAGAGCTGCGGGGCTGTTAGAAGAAAATTAGTTCTGAGTGAAATATCATCCTAAATAATACATCAGCTCCTGAGCACAAAACTTGTCCAAACATCCTCTGATTTATTGAGTAGGTTTGGCTTGTTTGACAAAACATGTTTTTCCCTTCACTTATTTTTGGTTGAAGTTGTTTTAAATATAAATGTATTATTCGTATGGGCTGAATAATACAGAACCCCAAAAAGGGCGAATACAGTTGTATATTATTGAAGAGTTCAGTTACTGTTTTAAATGAGAAAAACAATCATTTCTTCACTCTTGACTCTATGTTTTGGACTTAAAATGTATTCTTATTTATCTGCATTGATTCGTTTGAAGAACTGATTGAACTGATAATAAGAGGGGCATGAATGTATTCAAGTAGTTTTTATGGAGTGTTTCATCTTTGCAGGAGCAGACTCCCCAAGCCGTTAATACTTTTGTGCTGCTTATTGACAAGGACAGCAGACCTCAGCCAGAGCGGTGTCCTGGGATCCAGGTCTACTTTTTCACTTTTTACATTCTTTTTTATATGACATTGCATATGGATAAACACCTCGGTTTGGTTTACTGTTTATTACTAGGTACATTATTAATCTGATTGGGCAATAAGCTGTGTTGATTTGTCAGATAAAAATGTCTTTATAGCTATGCCAATGTGTGTGTTGGTCAGTAGGTTTGTTTGTTCTCTCATCTCTTTGTTCTTTACAGAGGATACCGTGAACATATGAGTTCAGAGTTTTTATTTAACTATAATTTACATTTTTATGTCGTGCCTTCAGAAGGTTATGAGCGAAGAGAGGTATCTCATCATCGACTGACTGTGCTCTTTAGGAGCCAAATGGGCACCAGCTGCATTAATCATCAGGAGATTTAGCATTTATCATATTGAGAAAATGTCTAATTATTAAGTTAGACAATGCTATTGTTAAACAAACACATGGTCTCTATGGCACTGTGAAGGTTCCAGTTTATTTCAGCATATGCCAGATACATATTTATTAAAAGAGATAATGAGTAAACAAGCCAGCAGAAAAAAGGTGACTTGTATAGTTAGACACTTGTGTTCTCAAAGCAGACTGAAGTGGTGACATCAATGAAAGCCTTGTTCAAGCTGGTGGAGGTGAGTCAGCTGAGCCCCCGCCTGGACGGCACACTGTCTCACAGCCCCTGTGACTGGATGGAGCTGCACAAGGTGAGACAGTCCAACAAGGCAATACATGCAAATGTGTATTTCTATCTAGTTACTGTAGTCAGGTTGTATCCATCTTCATAGTTCAGTGTTAACTTGTGGCCAAATCTCGTCCTCTAGAAACTCTTCCCATTTGTGTCTGATCTGTATGAGGCGTCCAGCCTCCTACTGAGAGCCATCAGTAAGTTAGAGGTGCCACACAGGACGGACAGTGTGCAGGTAGCTTTTTGCTTTTCCTTTGACAGCTTTAACATTATACTTGTTGTGTTATTATCTGGTACTTTGAGCTGCTACTGGTACTTTGGGATATGTAACCCTTTAAGTCTAAAAACGCACATTAACATTTAAAAGTTACACTTTAACTTGCTGATCCTTAAATTTAAGTTTTGTCGAAAAGACTGTACAGCAGTGCATGATGGACCAAAGGACTCTGATGCGGGATGTTCTGGAGGACAGCCGATTGGTCGGCCTGCAAAGGGAGGGTGGGGCAATGTTGGCGAGGCTGAGGAAGGAGAGTGACCTCAAGTACCCCGACTGCGAGGACCTCAGGTTTAAACAAAATCTCCTGCTCTCCCTTGTTCTCCCCTGTCACTGTATAATTTCCTCAACTACCCAGGTGTTACCTCTTCAGTCTTGTTGAAACTAGATGTGGTCCCTGAACAATATCATCTATTGATTAACATGATTATAGATTGCAAATGCTACAACTGTATCAGTGAGGAGGATAGACCATCATGTTTTTTAGTGTTTAAAAATAAACATCTGTTTCGGTGCACAACTAAAAATAAAAAATGACAGTAGTTAAGCCAGTGTTTTTTTGTGAATGCTGTGAATATGCTGCCTTGTCCTCCATTCAAACCCTTCTCCCAGAACACCAGATATTCATGTTATCTTTAATTAATTTTTTAAAGCCTTTGATCTGTCTTTTTCCTACATGCAGTGATGCAGTGGACTCAGTGACTAGCTTATACAACCAAGTGGAGGAGCAGGCTCATGTGCTCGTGCAGAGGTCCAACTTCTCACTGGAGCACCTGGAGTATCTGCTGCAACTCAGAGAGATGGAGGGACACTTCATGCAGGTTACCATCAAACTGCCTGCTGATAATCAGTTGAAAGCAACTTACTTGTATCAATATAATGCTTTTTCATTGCTGTAGCTGACCTAACCAACAGTAATTGGTATAACAGTCACTGAGTTCCCTGCAGGCTCAGTGATCTGATGTTATGATTTTTCATAAGGCTATGTCAAATCCAATGCCATTCAATAAGGGTTTTTAAAACTTTAAATGAAAAATGAATGAAATATATGATTCAGTATGTGTTTATTTGTTGTTTCTCACTTCCATCATGGGTCACAAAGTGATACAGTTCAGTAATGTGAAGAGAAATAACATTCTGGGCTGGATGATTAGCTGCTTCTTTCTGTGGCATGTTACTGATTATATGCTGAGTAATCATTGGGTATATTTGAATAAGAGAACAGAACATTTCATTAAAGAGGACTTAAAAAAGATAATGTTTGTGGTAGTTAGTGTGTACAGCATAACCTTGACTAATTATTATATCATAATAATCACTACTAAAGTAATTTTTTCCTTCATTTCCCACCCTTGTAGATGCAACAGTGGTTAAAAGTAGAGGGAGAGCGACACCTGCTGGAAGCTGCATCAGTGGAAGACTCTGGAGACAGAATGGAGCAGATCCTCAACAGCTTCACTGGTTTCCTTATTGAAGCAAACGTAAGACCTTTCTGTTTTCTGGTCAGCATAGTGTGAACTGTGTCCATAATAACCTGTCTATCCTCTCTCTCCACCCTCCTACAGGACCGAAGGCAGCATGCCATGACTTTAGTGTCAGAGGCAGAGCGACTCCAGCAGATTGGGTGCTCCTACCCAGAGACAGAGTTGTTCTGGTCTCTAGTCTGCAACTTCAAGACAGGCCTGGAAGGCTTTCTCTGTAGGGCTGAGGCATGTGGCAGGGAGCTGCAGATCATGGTCAACGTGTGTGATTTTTGTGAGCAGGTTGGTGTAAGATCAGTATTAAAAATATATTTAGTTAGTGATCTAACTCTGGAGAAAGTTTTATCTATATCCCAATTGCGACTCCATGCCACAAAAACATTCCTAATTGTTTCCCTATCCCTGTGAATCTTTCATTAGAACATGAATGTTTAAACTGCACATCATGCAATCAAATATCTGCAAAAACAATAACATCTATACTCCTTTTAAAACTGCCATCTTACAGCTTTTTAGGTAACATTTAAGTCAGGTCACATCAATATGAAAAAAGAAAATAAGATCATGCACTTTTGTTCCTGTGTACAAAACACAATATCTCCAAACAGGCTACAGCTCTGGCGAGTGAATGCATGGAGTACCTGGACCAGAGTCACTCCAGAAATCACACCATGAAAGACCTTGACGGAACTTCATCGCCTGTCAATCAAGCGAACACTCAGTCAATACAACACCAAAATCAAGAGTCCGGACCAAGCTCAGCACACTTTTCCCCGTCTTATACGCATGCAGCACATGGCTCAGGCCCAACATCAGAAAATGACGGCTCCATCCTCCAGATTTTCCAAGACAAGTTCCTACAGTTCAGCCCAGAGAGATTTCAGGAGGTGAAGGCCCAGGCCAGCTCCCTGCAGGGCTCCAGGGGGATGGGAGTATGGAATATAGCCTGGCTCAGATGTCAGGAGGCCAGGCAGCAGCTTCAGGAGAGGCTGCAGGAGGTGGACGAAGTTTTCCATCAACAACCAGATTCCAGCAGCTGGAATGAACATCATTATATTGATGTGGTGAGCACTAATGTCCAGACACTTCCCCCTGGTGGCAGGAATCTGGTGGTACAATCAACACCAGGGCCTGGACACTCGCAGTGGGAGGGCATCATAACAGGAGCAGTGGATTTAGGGAAGAGAAGGCCCATTTTGGGCAGCAGCAGCACTAATTCAACACCTTTAGCCTGCTGTAACATCAATGTCAAACCTGAGGATAGCAGTGATGCTGGAACCAGCCAGGGTTCAAAGACCACTCCACAGTCACCTCAGAGGTACATTTTGACCATTCACTTCTCATGACTGAAAGTTGGAGTAGTTGGTTTGATCTAATTTCTTAACAGAGTTGAAATATTGAAAGTAAAATGTGTTTGAGAGGAAAATGTGCTGAAATCTGCAAGAATATTTGTTGATGAGGATGTTTTTGAATAATTCAAGTTTATATGGTGCTTGTAGCCAGGCCCAGTATAACAAACAAGAACTGCCAGTCAGAGAAATTTAAGTAATGTTAATGTGTTAAGTTATAACACCCAAATTTGAAAATGACTTTAAGAAATGTTTTGCAACAAATTTGCACAAAATAAATCAATTTAAAGTACAAAGTTAAAAAAAGGTTACTGACTATTACCTGACAGTATCACATATCCATTCTGCTCTGTGATGTTTTAACTGTGTGCAATATTGACTCACAAGAGTACATGTTTGTGTGCACCATGCCATCAAATGCTCATTGTCTTGTCTTTTCACCCATTTTATACAAAAAAAATCAACATTACAATCTTTATATCAAAATGGAAAATACAAGGTTTGTGTGTTTCAGACCAAAACAGCATTAGTTTGTTTCCTTACCACTGACTAACCCACCAGTCAGTTAGTTGTGTTACAAAGGCATATATACCAATATATTCCTACACATATTGGTGCTTTTGTATCATTTAGTAACAGGACAGCAAGGAGAACAGAAAGAGAGACGAGGAGGAGACAGGCAAGCAGAGCCAGGAGTGAGAGAGATGCTGCTGCCCTGTCCCAGTCCCACACCGTCGGATGCCAGTGGTTTCCATGGGGACGGGGTCTTGGAGTGAGATCTGTGAGCCAGGACTCTTGCGCCACAAGGGTAGCAAAGGCAGAGTCTTCCACTCCTCCAGAGCAGCGGGTTCGATCCCCGTCATCCTGCTCCCACCACGGTCAGCCATCTTGTCGGATCCTTCAGGAAGCTCAGAAGTTCCAAATCTCACGGCATGGGAGCTTCTGCTCTGAAGATTCCTGCATGAGCGACCGGGCCACTGCAGGGGGTGATGGGACTTTGTGCTGCAAACACTCCAGCCTGCCTATTGGGAGATATGAGGGGGTGTTTTGTTTGGCAAATCCTCAGGAGAGTGCCAGCAATGCCCTGTAAGTTCAATACAAGTTGATGTAATTTGCTTGTACAACAGATTAAACAGCATCTGATTTGTCAGACAGATTAATTCTGTGATGTGAGCCTTAAATAAATTCCATTGGCATCTTAAATGAGATTTCAACTCAACTCAACTTTTTCTTCATGAAGTGTTCTTCTTCTGTCTTTTAGCTTACAATGAAGTACTGCAGGTATTGTTTCTTCTGATTTCCTTGTGTCCTATTTTCACCTGTCAACATGGATTGATCACTGAACCTGTTAGATAGACACAGACCTTTTATTAACAGTGACTGCTAACAATACGATCAACATATGTCATGACAAAGTTAAAGGGATTTGTTTAATGGCTGCTTCTAACCGTTTAGGTCCTTTTGAGGTAATAACCTGAACGAAAATAAAATGAATGAAAACTGATGAATATTTATATATTTTTTGACAATGACTGCATGTCTTAAATTTGCTGAGAGAGAGAATCAGTGTCTTGATAGAAAAAAAGGAACCACTGGTATTTTAAGACTATCTTATCACTCCCTAAAAATTAGGTATTTCCTGAGCTTCAGTGTTCCATTTTTTGGAAACCACTGATGCAGGGGCTGATCAGAGGGAGATTAGCATTTTAGACCACTTTGCAAAATAAAGTCTAAACATATTTAAGTGACTTTTCTGTTTGGATTACCAGGAGGCTGCAGCGTGTCCTGGAGGAGCTGGTGTTTACAGAGAGGGAGTATGTCCGCTCGCTTGGTTACATCCTGACCCACTACCTCCCCCTGCTGGACAGACCAGACATTCCCCAGGAACTCAGAGGGAAGCGAGGTATCATCTTTGGCAACCTTGAGAAGCTTTACGACTTCCACAGCCACTACTTCCTGCCGGAGCTGGAGGCCTGTCAGATGGAGCCTGCCATGGCGGCCCGCTGCTTCCTCAGACATGTGAGTGGTAATGTGTGGTAAATCACACTTGTGTATAGTGAGTAAAGAACTCATTGATTTGTTTATGAAGCGAAATATCTCTTGCTTGATTTTATCTGATTATTACATCATAATATAAATCATTTTAAAGATATTTAGTAAACTGGTGTTAAAATATAATACTATGTTATAATACAATGCACATAATTAAAACTGATACCCATACCTTTTAACTTCCCACAGAGTGACAGTTTTGGCCTGTACGCTCTATACAGCAAGAACAAACCTCAGTCAGATGCCCTGATCTTGCATCGTCGCCATGACATCTTCAAGGTCAGTTAAGTGGCTCTGTTGGTAGAGTCGCTTGTCTCTCAACTGGAAGGTTGGGTGTTTGATCCCCAGCTCTTGCAGCCCCATGTTCAATGTGTCCTTGGGCAAGACACTTGACCTTAAATTCACTTCAGAGCAGCCTCGCCCATCAGTGTGTGAATGGGTGTGAGTGAATAGGTGTGTCCTGTGGTGTAAAAACGCTTTGACGACTGAAGACGAGAAATGCGCTATACAAGCTCAAGTCCATTTACCATTTATTTGTTTCAAAGCAGATTAATTAAGTCCCTTTAATTTTGTGCTGAAAGTTTTTCTTCATTTTAGGATATTGCATCTGTACATCTCCCTGAATACAGACAGTAAAAAAACGCTGGTCTTAAAATTTAGTGGATAATAATGAAACATACTTATATGTAGACATAATGGGGAGGGCATATGATGTTTTCTCTACCTGTCCTCCATTACTTAAGATCCTGCACCTGACTATTCCATCATGTACTCCTTAAAATATTAATTTAAGTTGGTCAAATGTGACATAACTGAGAGGTTGCAGTGTCAGAATCAGAATCAGAATCAGAATCGGGTTTTAATGCCAGGTACATTTACACATACAAGAAATTTGACTCGGTGTATTGGTGCTAAACAATTAACAAGGAAATAAAGCAGAACTAGCAACAACTTAAATAATACAGTATAAGAAGATATTACAAAATATAAAAAATAAAAAACACAAAATGTACAAAAGGTGCAATGTAGGAGCTGTGCAGTGAACTATGAGAAGAAAGAAAAAAAGTATCTCCCCCCAGCCCTAAAATTACTCAGCTCTACAGTTCCCCTTTGTTTCCCCTCACAGAAGAAGCAGCAGGAGCTTGGAGATATGATGGACCTGTCGTCCTACCTGCTGAGGCCCATCCAGAGAATCAGCAAATACAGCCTCCTGCTGCAGGACATGCTGGCCCTGGCTGGCTCATACAGGCCAAAAGACATGATCAAGGACACACTGCACGCAACAAGTGTATGTGCACAAAGTGTGTGTGGCCCTGGTGCATTTGTGCCCGATCTGACGAGCAGTGAGAGGGAGCGGGAGAAGGCTGAGATCCAATCAGCTGCAGACCTGGTTCGGTTTCAGATGCGTCACGGCAATGATTTGCTCACCATGGATGCCATCCAAGAGTGTGATGTAAGATGTTAACATGATAGATAAGAAACTTGACACAAAGCTATTTTATCAGTTTAACTGTCAGTCTGCTGCATTGTTCTGTGCTCTATCAGGTAAATCTACAAGAGCAGGGTCAGCTGGTTCGCCAGGACGAGTTCACGGTTCTCTTCAGGAAAAAGAAATGTACCCGTCGTGTCTTTCTCTTTGAAGACCTCATCCTCTTCAGCAAGACCAAGAAGACAGATATTGGCAACGATGTGTATGTCTACAAGCAATCATTCAAGGTTTGCATACAGCTTTGCTTATCAAGAAGCATAATACACTATCATAATCATATCTGTCATGGTTGACACTAACTTACTTCACAGGCCAAAAGTCATTATTTCCATCTTGGTCATTTTGTCTTTTTCTGCTTTTACTCCCAGACAAGCGACATCGGGATGACCCACAACTCAAGTTTGAGTGGTTTGTGTTTTGAGATATGGTTCCGCAGGAGGAAAAGGGACGACACTTACACCCTGAAGGCCTCCAGCGTGGAGGTAAAGAAAGCATGGACCACGGACCTGGAGAGGATTCTGTGGGATCAGGCCACTCACAATCGAGGTTGTAACATCAACAACACAACAGCATATTCTTTTTTCTTTGATTCTAGTGCTCAAAAATTTATGAATGTATTAAGTGCTATATAAATTTATGAAATTTATAAAAAATGTCTATCTGGACTATACACTGTTTTCCAGAGATGCGTTTGCAGGAGAGGGTGTTTATGGGAATGGGCCGCAAACCATTCATGGACATTCAGCCCAGTGATGCTGCTATCTGTGACCGAGCCGTCAGCTGTGTCCTCCCCGGGAGAAGTAAGGATCTGCATTCAGTTTGGAAAATACAAAATATTTCACACTTTAAGCCAAGTTTTAGCACTTTAAAAAAAAGTCATTTTAAGAATTACCTGAAACTCATTAAACACTTACTTGGAAAGTATTGTGAAAGCTCATTTTTATCACGAAAGTACACTCGCACAATTTAATCCCTAATCTATAGATTTCAAATCGACTGTTGAACTAAAACACATACAGTATTGTGGATTAGTTTAATTTTTAGATGGAATTAAAAGTAGAGATGGTTTTAGCCACACATAGCAGCTGACAGTTGGCCCACCACTTCAGATCCATGTTTTTTTTAAACAAAAATGGATTTTCGCAAACATCTCATCTGACTTTAGTGCCCCCTTACTTTTCCCCTATCATCAACATGGGTTTAATGTTTGGGCTTTTTGTGTAATATTCCCCATTAGATGACGGATGGCTTGTAATTACACTTTTAAACAAATAAACCCCTCTCAGGATGAATAGTAATAACTTTGTAACATTGATGTTTTTCTGACTGACTTTAAAATGTAACTGTTTCCATTTTTTTTTAGATTAAAGTGTTGAATATGGTAGACTTTATAATTCATAAACAATAGCATGTTAATGTTTTGAGCTTGTTTGAACGCTTATGTTAGCATCTAGCTAGCTGAATGCCCTACTGTTGTAGGTAAAGATTCACCCCCCACCCATCGTAGTGCGCGTTCTGCCCGCTCACCTCATAGACTGTAAACATTACATTCGCTTGCCTGGGAGCTGGAGTCTGACGTCACTTTCCTGCGCCGTCCACTTTGTCATTTCGTTTTCGAGTTGGTTTGAATTATGATCACTTTTTAGCACGGCAAGTTTGAAAACGAAAAGCCAAAGACATTTTGGTTTTCATTTGAATGATGTCATACAATATGCATACATAGAGAGTAAAAGTATAATGCAAACTGGATGACTGAATATTCATTTTAAATATAGGTAAAATAATGCACCTTTATTCTGAAAATTAAAATGTGTTTCTGTTACTGTATTTTCATTTTAAAATTAGCTTTTTCATTTGAATTATGGTACAGATTTAGCGGGGCATTTAAAAAAATGATAAAACAAATGTCATTTTCTTCCTCATTTTAATTCAGTCAAAGAATGTGCATTTTTGAAGTTGAAAACTAAAATTCAAATTAGATAAATTAATCATCATTTTGTTTTTGAGTCAAATAATACACCCATATTCTGAAAATTAAAAAGCATTTCTGTTAATGCATTTGAATTTTCAAATTAGCATTATCATTTGAATTTTGATCACTAATCGCTTCCATATGGATGCAGTAGAGGCTTGTTATCCATTTCACGCATCATTTTTTACTAGCTTATTAAATTATTTCCATATTTTATTTTTGTTGTGATGCTAGCTGACATACATTCTATAACAAATCAAAATCCTGTAATCATTAACATTCATGCTTGTGCCCTCACTGCTCACTGACCAAGCCCGTTATTTCTGATGTAATCTATCTGTGTGTCGTCAGTCCCTGTGGCCTGTTGTTCACACAGGGGCATAGAATATCCACGGCCACACTCCATTGGCTCGGGTAGCACCGCCTCAACCACCATCAGCCAATCATCTTCCTCCTCTGGACGGGGCTCACTGCCCCCTGCAGGTTACCCTGGGAACCAGTCACAAGGAGTGGAGTCAAGTCCTGCTGGCTGTTCCTCCCTTGAGGCTGACAATGAAGTGAACAATCATCATCTCCATCAGCATCATCTTTATTGTAACTGTGAACAATGGAAAACTCCTCATCCTCTGGGTGAGAGTTTTTTTTAAATATAATATGTATTTTTATCAGAAGACTAAAGGGTCTATTTGTGTGTGACTTTTTTTCTTTTCTTTCTTCTTCTGAGCATGTTCATTTATCTGATATATGTAAAGGAATTCAGATCAAATCCAATGAGCATGGTCATTTGATTATACAACCACTTTACATGTTTAATAGATATTGCTGTTAGATATCTACTGTGGTTTATAGAAATACACACATTATAAATCAATATAAATTATATCTGAGGTATGTAAAACATTCTCAGGGGTCTGTTTGAACTCTGTTGTCATTCTGAAACTTTAACTTATAAGTGAAATACCATTCCATTTCATTGTTCTGATTGTGCTACAGTGGACAGCACTGGATCATCTGGAGAATGCATTGACCTCCTCAGCAGCTCAGAACGCAGCCGCCTGTCTGCCATCAGTGGAGAAGTAGTGGACGACTCCTCTTCCTTTCTCTCCCAGAGGTCTAAGCAGCACCCTCCACTTTGTCGGACCTCCAGTATGAGTAAAAACGGCTCACCAGCTGTAACAGGAAGAAAAACAGGTGTTGCCCCTATACCTCCACATCTGGCTAATGTTCAGATACAGGTGGGGTATAAAACTGTGTCCTGATGATGTATGTAGCTTATGTAGTGTATTCGACCTTGTAGACACAAGATCAAGATTCAAAATGTTCTCAATCGCATCGTTTTTATATTCTTAGCATTTGTAAAGGTTCGAAAAATGTCTTCATGTGTTTAATCATCAGAATGAAAACATAAACTCTACCAGTATTCTAAAGCATACACAATCAATTTGAATAACTAAAAGCTTTTTGATTTGACATCATTTTGTATAATATACCATTTGATATCTTTGTTGCAGGGTGATGATATCATAATTGGAAAATCTACAGAAGTTTAACACTTTGTTTCCTGATGAAGGTAATACTACATTTGATTTCTAGTTCACATATCAATGCTTCTTTTTTGTATAGGAGTTGACCGCTCTGATGACGAAAGTGAAGATGATGAAAGTATTTTCTTAGATTTGATCCAAAGAAGATTTTAAAAAAGAAATGTCTTCAGCAGATTCATGAAGCTGAACTGTGGTATTGTTCACACCTGTGTTTTTGAATTGATGAATGAACTGTCCCTGTAAGTTGGAAGCTCATGCATGGTTTTCTCAATCACAACAGAAAATCGCCAAATGTACAGTATGCCCATGTAAGTGCAAGACATTGCAGGGCCTCTGCAAATGCAGAAGTCACACAGTATAGAGAAGTAGAGAGACGTAGGGAATTAGTCAATTGAAATATAAAAAAAACGCCTACAGGACTCCAAATCCCCCCAAAAATCTGAAGTGGAGGTAAAGTTGCTTGAAGTAGAGGGAAAAAGCCAGACAAAGAGAGACTCTGACCAGATCTTCTTATCACTTGATATTAATATGATGTGATGGTACATTTATTCTAATAGCTGCAAATACCATCTTTAAAGTTACTTTATTGTAGGTGTTCTCTTTTCAATATTTATACAACATTTCACCTCAGAATAAGAAGCAGATTCATTTTTAATAAGTGTGTTTACACATACTTGCATATTTGACTTGTTGTTTGGTGCAAAACAATTCGCAAAGTACTAAAACAAAAATAGTAAGAAGCTTTAAAACAGCAGTGCTCCTGCTGACAGAGAACTTATATAGAATAAGATCAAAATATAAAAAGTGATTAAAACATATATAATAGAATATAAAAATATAAAAACAGTGCTTAGACTTCATCCTACATCATATATCTTTAAACAATATGTCAGTTACAAATTAAAATGTGCAAAATTAAGAAAAACACAGTTGTCAATAATGCTGCCCTGGCACATCAACACTTAAGAGCAAACAAGAGTGTTTGTTGATTTAATTCTTAGAGAATCTCAGAGGATAAAACTTTGTGACTGAATGATCTTTTTGAAAAGTGCATAGGGGGGTGTTAACAACAAATGTCTTTAAGAATGGTTGCTGAATGAGGCTCAGGTCCTCAAAAGATGTAGTGAAAAATAAATGCATTTTAGATTTTGCTTTTGGTATAAGATGTCAGTTTTTTCTGCTATATACACATTTTTCAGATCATGGCCTTTTGTTTTTTATATTCATATGTGGTTTTATATTGTTTTATTTGTATCATTAGTATAGTTGTAGTAGTCACAGCAGTCCATATAGTAGGAGTCAGTTGTATTATTATTATTATTATTATTAACATCCTAGGTCTTTAACCCTTAAATGGTTTCTGTATCCTAGGGGATCCAGACATTTGACTGGCTGTGGGGTGGAGGGGCATTAAGTGGGTACACTTAAAATCATCAGAAACACTGAAGGGAGGGTTGGGTCAAGTACTCAGGTCATGTGACTTATTGAGTCAAATAGATACAAAACACTGGCTTAAAATCCAAAATGGTGCAGTGACAAAGACACCAACCTGTTGCTGTATTTTTACGTTTATTATTTGGTGGGATTTTATTTCTGAAAATAATTTTTTAAGGAACATTTTATTAGTTCTTGTCGAAAAATTATGATTTGGATTTTCACAACTTTGATAATCAGGTATTTAATGTTTGTATTCTTGGGATACATCACAGAGATAGAGGTATAAAACAAGTAGAGTCACTCATAAATATTACTCTATACATCATAAGCAATATACAGCTGTGAAATATTGATTACTCTTATATGCAAATCATGATTGAAAGATATCAATACATTCTTTATAAAATGTTTTAAAAGCTGGTTCATGAATTTTTAAAAGAAGGCGGGGAAATGTTTAAACTATAACCTAAATGAGCAGTGTATCCAGGGAGATATCAACTCTAAATTGGAGAAAAAGCTCTTATTTTGAAAAACAACAACTGTGTTATTGTAATCCAGATAAAATAGAAAACAGTAATTAATACTTAAATTAATTAATTTTCCCAAAAACCTATTAATTTCTGGCCATTGAAAACAATAACAAATTGTTGCTTTAATATTTTGCAGATCATATGTCCACTGGAACTTCCCAGCCTTGTTGGAGATCTTCAGACCAATCAGACTGAGTAAAAAAACCCTTGTCTTGTAACAAAGAAGAGAAGAGACTGCTACGTGGGTGAAATGGTTAACAGCTAACAGAGTGAGATATGTACACCCATCTGAGAAAGCACTTTTTCATTGCACTTTTTGCAATGATGTGCAATATCTGATGGGTTCACTTAAATTAAGCCAATCAACCAAACTAACTGGGTGTTTTTCCAGGTTTAACTGTCTCTCAGGTCAGATTTAGCCCACATGTTCTGAGTCTATGAGCTGTGCTGCAATGAGAAACCAATAGTTTTGGTCAAAGGATACATTTAAATACATTTATTTTGATGTGTCAGCTTTTCAGCCTAAGGTATTTTTGAAGAATAATTGATTATGTTTACTACTGTCATAGAAGTCAGTAACTAAAGTGGAACAATCATACCTGACCAGCATCTGTATTCAAGAGCAGAGAAACCACCTCAGTCCAGTGATACAGAATGCTTCTCTCTTTGTTTTACACTCATTATTATTCATTAGCTGTAAAAGTGTTGCTGAAGAAGCAGTTTTTAGATATTTTTTTTCAAACAGGACAACTTTGTTTTGGTTACAAGATGACATGGGAAACATAATGCAGTGCCAATACACAGTTCTAATAACTTATGAAAAGGGAGAGACCACTGGCTTGTACTACTTGTATTGGTTGTACAGGCAAACACCACTAACTGTTATTTAGGGTCAACTAATGGTTCTCCACTTCTTAGTGTTCCAGCTTCTGCTCCTTTATGACAAGCAAAGGAAGGTATTTCTTTTCATTTATTTGATCGATGAGTTATGCCATTCTTGTCATTCTTCTGTGAATTTATTGCTGTGCAAACAGCGTTCATGATCTTGAATAATCTTGAGGCCAAAGGGTCAATGTGTGTTAAATGTACTTAAAATCCACTCATTTTTATGACACTACTTATACATTTGTTGTTTTGTGTGCTATCATCTTTTCTATTGGTTACTTCCTTATCTTGTTAATGTCTTTATTTATTCTGTTATTTTTTTATACAAAATACGGGGTCAATGCCATTTTTGTAGTCTTGATTTTTTCTTGATTTTTTTCTTTCTTGCTTGCTTTCTTTCTGAATATTTATTTTTCTTACGGAGATGTTTCACTTCAGTGTCCTTCCTCTGAACTCTGTGCTACCGTTGGAGAATGACGAGACAGATTGCAGTAACATACATGGCATCAGCCTGTGACAATGTTTTACTTCTTTATTCCTCAGAATGACAGCCATTGACAATGTTTACAACAGCACACTCTGTTTATCTGTCCTTTAAGTTTATTTAGAAATGTAACAGTGAGTACATACTCTGATCAAATGTCATCATATGTGGACTCTGTTCAACTTGTCAGTTCCTTGCATCTGTTCAACAAATAAGAAAAAAAAAAGTTCATGACCTGTTGGCGATAACTGACATCCTAAAACTGAAGTGTCATCAGTCTGAGCTGAAAGTGAGAAATGTGTTGAGTAACTTTTAGAATACTAGCAAAACAAGAAAAATGAATAAAACTGTATAGATTGTTTGGATTTTATAAATGTAATATATCTACTCTATATGTCTGACTCATTTCAATAAAACATTTTGTTACGATTTCATTATAAAGTCATACACCAAATGTTAAAGACAAATAATAAATACGTAATTTATGAACACATTTTTGTTGTCTTTTTTTGTCTTCATTAATCTATTAAATGTAGAGCTCTTTCATTTGTTGTCATATGTGATGTGACAAACTGAACAGAAAGACGTTTAAACTGTTTTTAGGCATTAGTTTTGCTGCAAAAGACCAACTTAAGTAAAAGTTTGATAGTTTGATTCGAGAAGGCCTATTTTTAAGTTAAAATAACCTTTATTGAAAAGTTCATGGTCAAATTAAAGCAGAAAGAGGAAGAAATTGTGCTGACTAAAAACTGAATAATATGTGACGAATAGACGGATGGGGGCGTAACGATCGGGTTTCAGATGCTACAAATATCCCTGAGGAGCAGTAGCTCTGCGGGTCACATTGAAGCTGAAGTGTGGCTTTCTTCTCAAAGGTCAAGAGACAAGAACTTTACTGCAGACATGAGTCAAGGTAAGGAAACGAAAACTTATTTTTTTCTGATAATTCAAGACATTGGTCTATATGAAGAACTATTATTTACAACTGAAGACGCAGATTCTCCCAGTGTTACTATTTTCGATGGGTCTCCTGTTGAGTATGAGGTGTAACATGTGACGTTCAGGATATAAAAACACAGTAACGGTATCTGCAAAGAGGAATGTCTAGGTGATTTTTTTTTTGGGTGTGATATATCATCTGAACAAACTGCGAGGGGGGATGAACGTTGATTAAATCATTTTGTTTTTCTTGATGTTTGGAGAAGTTTTCATTGATGTGATGTGGATTCTGCGCGTTCCCTTTACGCACAGTGTTGGACATTGAGCGCTGCGATCTGGACATTAAGAACAACAGCAGCAGCCACCACACAGACCGATGTGCAGAGGAGCGTTTGATTGTCAGGAGGGGACAGCCCTTCAACGTTATACTACATCTGAAACCCGGGAGCAAAGAGTTCAAACCGGATGAAACAAACTTCACACTCATAGTTGAAACCGGTAAGCTTCTTGTTTCACTGTGGAGATAAATATAGTTGTGTACACACTGGCTATACATCCCCAGTGTGTGAAGAGGATGTATGTTTCTTTCACCTGCTTTTAAATGTAATGCTCCCAACCCTCTCTCTCTTTCTCTAAAGGTCCGTTACCGAGAAAAGAATCAGACACCAAGGCTTCCTTTGGTCTCAGCAAGTCTATAGTAGACACTGAGTGGAGTGCATCTGCCTCTAATGATCCCTCTGGAAACAGAGTGTCTGTATCCATCTGTTCCTCACCCAATGCCCCTATAGGGGTGTATTCCCTAACTCTGGACCAAGAGGGCCAGAAGACCAGTTTAGGAAAGTTCACCCTGCTTTTTAACACTTGGTGTCACAGTGAGTATATTTAAAAAATATTTCTTAAGATTTTTTTTATGTCTTGACTTTCTTCATAAACAACTTGTACTTAATTTCTTATACATACATGATTATTGTGTAAAATTCATGCACTATGTAATGAACATTAAAAAAACCTATATCAAATCATAACTTATATTGCACCACAACCCTCCAACATGTAGGCCTGATTGTATTCAGAAATATACTATTATTAGTATAGTAGATGTTATTATTTATGATGGTTTAAATGTGTTGGTGCTCTCCATGGACTCACTCACAGGAGATGCTGTTTACATGCGCAGTGAGACAAAGAGGCAGGAGTATGTTTTAGAACAGCATGGGCAAGTCTACAGAGGAACACATAAACGAATCAAAGGGAAACCCTGGAACTTTGGACAGGTAAACTGATGTCAAAGAAAAGTTCATTAAACTATTCACACTGAAAAAATTGAAATCTAAATGCTTCTTCACTTCTGATTTTTTTTAATATCCACTTATGTTTATCAATCACTGGATTGATTTCTATGAACCCAATAGGAATATAACAAATAAAAATCCATGCAGCTCATCTAGTGTATCTAATGGTTCCTCTGTTGCCTGTCCATTGTTTGTTTTTCCATCAGTTTGAATCAGGGATCCTGGACATCTGTCTGAAGATTCTTGACGACAACCCAAAATTTGTGTCTGATGCTGACAAGGACTGCTTTGCCAGGAGAAATCCCATCTACGTGACCAGGGTGCTGAGTGCCATGGTGGGTCTTTGCCACGGCTTTATAAAAAAATTGAGGCCAAATGGATTCCATTAAACTAGCCAATGAATAACCATTATGTATTGCAGACAGGGCAATGGGGCCCCTACACTGACAATGGTTGCACCATAACACCCCTCAATATGCCTCTTTGTAGTGCTTCAGTTCTGCAGGGAAACTTCTGTCATTCTTTTGAAGCTTTCTGTTCTCCCTGGGCTACGTTTGTGATAGTAACTGCAGGGAAGACAGGAGTTTTGGCTTGGGCAGTGTAGATTTAAAGCAGGTGGCCAAGTGCCCTGTAATAAATTAAAGTCTGTTAGTGTGTTCTTACTGCTGTGAGCCAAAATAGCTGATTTCAAAATCCAAGGCTATTTCAATTGAGTATGCATTTACCACCCCAGGTTCGCCCCTTGGCTGTAATGATGACCATGACAGTTATGCACTATATATAGCTTATATGATACATTTGTCTTGAATCACTATTGTCCTGGAAGTTATTTATTGTCTGTATTTAAGTGTAGCTACGTACATACCAGAAGGTAGGCGGTTTAATCCCCAACATTCCTCCCAATGACAAAATCCTCAGGGTATGAATGTGTGTCAGTCTCAGTTCAGTAGTGGGCAGCCTGGCACTTATCATAGTCTCTAACACCAGTTTTTAACAAGTGTGGGTGAATGTGAGATGGGGTGTGTAAAAGCACTTTGATTGGTCAGAGGGCTAGAAACGTGCTTTATCCATTTACCATTCTCCCATTACAAACTTGTGTACTGTCAATAGTTCTGATCTTTAGATCTAGTTTAATCATGTAAGGTGACATTGTCTGTCCACAATGGACTCCTTAATTGTTGATATATTTGAAGCTACCTGTTTTACAAAGTCTTTATTTACACTTCCTCTGTTCCTATGGCTCAGAAGGTAGAGCTGGTCTGATTCCCATGTATCCAGTCTGCATGTTGAAGTGTCTTTGGGCAAAATGCTGAAACTTAAAATAGCCACTTGAAGCATATCCATCACTGTATAAGTGTGTCACACACTGTGTGTGTGAATGAGATAAGGTTGGCACCTTGCATGGCAGCCTCCAACATCAGTGTTTGAATGTGCATGTGAATGGGAATATGTGTGTGGCCTGTCATTTTTTACCATTTACTCTCCTAGGATCCACCCCTGAAATATGTTTTTCACATAGAAAGTCAAATATTTCATGTTTGTTGCACTAAGCTTGAACTATATCAGCCATTGTGGCTGGTTATCTATGTGCTCCACTATTTAACTTTTAAGATCTTCTAACAATGTAAAATTTTGCATAATCGTTCTAATGCTAATGAAAGTTCTGATGAAATCTGACGCTAAAATAATGATTCTTTAGGATACCTGATGGCACAGAGGAATGCTCTTTTGTATTTCTCTTGTTCAATGTTTGTTTGTTTTTTGCTTAATTTTATTTTATTTTTGGCAAAATTGCTCAGAATACTTTTACCATAAAAGAGCTGGAGTTAAAAATAAAAAGGAAATCAAAAAACTTGAAACCTTGACAAATTGTTTCGAAATTGTTGTTCCGCTTAGAAAGCATGCAAAAAGAAAATAATAAGTATGCTCATGATTATGAATTTGATTCCCTTTTTCTCTGTTGCCTTACGGGAACCTTTGTCTGTACCCTCAGATCAACAGTAATGATGACAGAGGGGTGCTGGTTGGAGAGTGGGAAGAGTTTTCTGGCGGGGTTCATCCAGGAACGTGGACTGGCAGTGGGGAAATTTTGCGGAAGTGGGCAGAAAGTGGCCCGGTCCGCTACGGCCAATGTTGGGTGTTTGCTGCTATTGCATGCACAGGTTAGAGCTTCTTTCAAGTTACAACCTCTAGACAATCTTTTCCATCTAAATTTTTAATTTAGAATTTAATCTCAAGGATTAAAAGCCATCTGCATCGTGTGATATATTATTTGGATGTCTTTATTTCTAGTCCTTGATGACAGATGCTATCTCAAGTGTGCGCTGAAGATAGCAGGCTTGATGAAGTGTGACTCTCCTTTCCTCCTCCAGTGTCCCGTGCCCTGGGAATCCCATGTCGAGTGGTTACTAACTTTGGATCCGCTCATGATTCGGATGCCAACCTGGTGATTGAAAACCTTTATGATGAAAACGGAGAAAGGATTTCTGGAGGTGATTCGGTTTGGTAAGTTATTGAGTTGTAACACATGCACTGTATGAAAGTCTCTTGTTGGCCTCTGCTGAACCAATTTGAATAGTTCCATTTTATTTTTAGTCATTATTTCACTGATTTTAGTTATTTTACTTTATTTTATTATTTACCAGGAACTTCCATGTTTGGGTGGACAGCTGGATGACTCGTCCTGATTTGGGAACAGAGTTTGATGGGTGGCAAACCAGTGACCCAACCCCGCAGGAGACAAGTGATGGTAACTTGACGTCCTGTTGTTCGTCCTGTTTCCAAAAACTTTTGAAAAGTCCTGTTGTCCAAATGCAGGTCTTACATTTAAGACTTTGAACTGACAATCTTTTGTTGAACTGGCAAAGCAGAAACAAAGCAAAGACAAAATAGTAAAACAAAGTGTAATGTATTTTGAGCTGTGTATGAAGTCACAAGACTTGACCACAGTGGTTAGTTTCTGTTTCTGGGAGTAGTCTCAGGTCTGGTTTATATGGTGGGAAATGTGTGGTTGGTATGTTCACATGACTTTGCATATATGTTATGTGTCAATCTTAAAATGTCCTGCTTTGATAAATACACATTACAAAGTATTGTTTCCTTTTTACAACAGTGTTACTTTAGGTTAAAAAAAGTCTCATACAACCCGGTGCTCACACAATTTTCAAGACTCCTCCTTTTGGTATTTAGACACTAATTTCAAAACAACATTCAATTTTTTTTAAAGTATCGACTTTCTTTGGAGATGATCTTCCAGCTCAACTCTTTTTTAAACATGAGATGTTTCTTTATTTTATCACTCAAAGTACTTATCTTGAATAGGCCTGTGTTCTAAATGTGTCACTTTGTGTGTACAAGCTGGTAAAATGAACCCTGTCTCTGTATGTGTGTTTCTGTCAGGTGTTTTCTGTTGCGGGCCGGCTTCTCTGAGGGCCATAAAGGAGGGAGAGATGACCAAGAAGTATGATGCACCGTTCATTTTTGCTGAGGTGAGCTGTTAGGCAATTTAGCGTAACATTTACAAGAAATAAAATACAGAAATGTACTTCTATTTCATTTAGATGGACTTTCAGTTCACTGTGTGCTACATGGTAAATGGACTTGAGCTTGTATAGCGCTTTTCTAGTCTTCTGACTACTCAAAGCACTTTGGCCTGATCTAAACCATCTTAATGAGACTGATACACTCTGCTTTCTGATATTTTCAGAGATTCTGTGTTTATTTGTAAAGATATCTGCTGTTACAGATTTCTTAAATTGCTTTTGGTGCCTGTTTTCTTCCTGCTTACTGACTATTGCCTTAATTGTCTTTCTAATCAGAATGATTTGATGTCATTTCATAATGTGCATGGAGTTAGGTTAATGCAGATGTTGTGGAATTGGTGCAACTGTCAACTGGGGAGTTTGTCCAGTTCAGTGGATCAACTAAGTCTGTTGGAAAATTCATCAGCACCAAGGCTGTGGGCTCAGATGAGCGACATGACATCACACACCAGTATAAGTATCCAGAAGGTACGGCAGAGTCCACATACATGATACACAAAACCACAAAGATTATTAAATTTATAAATTGAAGTCTCACTGCATTGTTGTTTGGCCATAAAACTTATCAGAAATGTGTTTTTATGTGTGACTGATGTTTTTCAGGCTCAGTGGATGAGAGGAGAGTGTATGAGAAGGCTCAACACCACAACAAGTTACAGCAGAGAGGAGAAGAGCCAGGGCTCCGTCTTAAGGTGTTTGTTAATTCAATTATTCTAAAACGTACTGAGCTGGAAAGTAGAGCTCCAAAGAGGCACAAAGATAGATGATATACATGTAAACGTAACTGGATCAAAAAGTATGCTAGTAAATTCCAATCAGGCAAACTGTGGTTTAAAAAGAGAGGAACTGCAGTCATGTGTTGGAATATACCCATCAGTGGTATGACAGGAACACAAAAGACATGTGATTGTCATGTACAACTGCTAAATGACGCGCAAGCCCCATTTGTGTTTGCAGTGGGGATTTTTTTAAATGTAACATTTTATCATGTGCCCAGAGAGCCACCTAGCTCTAGTTCAAATATAAAATATTTCAATGCATTAATTTTATTTTGAAGAGAAGAATTTATTTTGAAGTTTGTGAATTCCATTAAAAAATCAACTTATTGTCATTTAAGATCAAACTGGCGGATAACATGATCGTGGGTTCAGACTTCGAGGTGAACGCTGTCCTTACTAACAACTGCATGGATACCAGGACGTGCACCTTCCTGTTCTTTGCACGAGCTGTCGGCTACAACGGACGACAAGGCGAGAGCTGTGGATTTGTTTCAGACAAAGTGGAGGTGCCCTCTGGAGAAGGTCAGTTTGAGCTTGAGAAAAACACTTCACACCACAGTATCTGAGTGGTGAATTTAACAATCTCACATAAACCTCCTTCTACCATGCTGAACCTGCTCTGTGATTATTTAATGACCTAGATGTAATATCCAATGTTTGGTTTTTCAGAGAAACGTCTGTCCCTCAAACTGAAGTATGACAGTTATGGGTCAGTAATCACCTCCGACAGGTTGATCCAGCTGTCAGCCATCACCATCGACAAGAAGACCATCAATTACAATAAGGCTGAGAAAACCATTGTCCTAGATGAGCCAGAGATACAGATCAAGGTGAATGTGGAGACTAACTTACATGAGTAATATAAACTGTGTCGACTTTTTAACCTTTTGTCTTTGACTTGCTTTTTTTCCTACTTATTGTAAATCCCATTTTTTGGGGGGGGGCTTTACAGCCATGTCAAAAGAAATGTTTTTATTGATTTTTCTTCATCATCTAATTGACCTGACTGACACTGTGATAGGTTGGTTCAGTAGTTCATAGGCATTATATAATATGCTTACAATATACATATACCATCTTTTTTATGATGAAACCTGTTTATCTGCAGCTGGTGGGAGATGTCAAACTGAACCAGTCTGCGACAGCTGAGCTGAGCTTGTTGAACCCTTTACCGGAGACTCTGCAGGACTGCAGCTTTACTGTGGAGGGGGTTGGCCTCACTGACGGCAAACCAATAACAAAGAAGTATGTCAACACCCAACTGTGGATTCAGTTATATCAATTGTATCTATTCTCCCTTACTATTTTCTACTGTTATGTTCTAATGTGTGAATAATTTCATTACTGTCATTACAGTTTAGCTTCTTATGGAAGATAATGTATTAACTGTAACAAATTGTGATGTAGCTACAAAAGGTACGCCTGCTGAAACTCAAAAGCAGCCTAAATCAAAGAGATCTTTTCCTTTCAACTGTCACACAATGATTCTTATTTCTACTATTTAAAAAACGACTCCTCACTAGGAATAGGAAATGGGTTGTTGATTTGCAGATATAATCCAGTAAATCTTTAAAGAAAACCTTAACATTAATAATATAAAGCCTGGATGTTTTTCTGCGTTGTTTTGCATATTGATTGAGACTTGTTTTTGAGGCAGATGATGCTTGATGTATAAATATATATATATTTCTTTTTTCAGAATTGGAGCTGTGAGCATCAAACAGGAAGCCAAGGCCAGCATTGAGTTTAAACCCACCACTGCTGGCTCCAGCGTGCTGCTGGTAAACTTTGATAGCATCAAACTGCACAACATCAAGAGCTCCATCAATGTTGTGGTGAAGGAATAAGCCATTAAATAACTCTTCATTAACAGTTACTACTACAGTTATTTTGTTGATTAACTGAACCACAGGTGTGATTAGAGACTTGAGGATTTATTTTTAAATGCATTTAGATTTCTATTCAATATTAATATATTTTACTAGAACATCATGTACTATTTCACTATTTACAGTTAAGTATTTTCATAATTAATGAAACATGTTTACTAAGCAGAATGTGCAGTCTATGAATTACAGTAAGGCCTATTGTTGCTCTGTGCAAAGCTACAATAAGCCCCACAATTTAAATCAATAACATAATATATTTGTATGATCTTATTAATTACTTGAATGATCACAGAACAGTAGATTTGTTATGGAAGCATTGGTTTCTTTTTGTTGGAGACTTTTCTTTATTTGTGATCAAAACAAATTATTTCCTAACAAAAAAAATAAAATGTTTTAATGAAAATGTTGAGCCTTGGTGTTATTTGTTGTCTTGGGATGTGCTTCTGTTAATCCTGCTTTTTTTTACATAGCTCCATCCAACAAGTATGAAACTATTATTTTATTATGAAAGGGAAATGTCTCCATCCACAAACTTGTCAAAAAGACCACAAACTGATCTCATACAAACTGATGTGTAACAATCAGTCTGCTGGGGATTAAACTCAGAGTCCTGTGGACTATGAGATGTTAATATATGAATATTATTCACTCCCATGTACAAAAAAGATATTTCTGGATGAGCCATCCTCTTTTGTTTTTGACTTAAATTGTCTATCATTGTCTATCCTTTCTGAAAAATCCAGCAATGTTTTTTTATTTGTGGGTATTTGATAGTAAAATGTATAAAGTGGGATGTTTCATGAAAGCTCACATTGAAAGATTTTAAATGATCTGGCTCTAACTTTGACCCTGATGCCCCATACTGAAAGTTGTATCCTCTATAGACTTCCATTGGATGTAAGGCCACAAAAAGAATTTAACTCGATGATTTTACAAACTTTAAATTACTTTACCTTTGGACAGATCATCCAAATCTTCTTTCTCAAAAAATCTCTCCTTGTTTTTGATGTTTCAGTGCCTCATAGTTTCTCTTACTTTTGTTTTACAAAAACAAAACCTCTTTTTGGTTGAATTGTACTCATGTTTGATATTTTCTTGTGGATTTATCTATTTTATTTTAAGGCATTTCACCATATTTAAAAGTGTGCAGTTGATATCAGACAGGAAATTATTAAATGAAGTGGGCCATGACATGCCACAAAGATTCCTGACCAGACATGACTCAGGTATATTGCTTCTATTTGGACATCATAGACCCCAGGACCACCAGTGTGGCCCATGTTAATGAATTTATCACTTACATGTTTACTTATCACAGTTTTAGTTTGGTGGCATAGTTTGTCTTAAATATTGAGTACTCAGTGGACTTTATTAGCCAACAAGTAAAAAAGAAGAAAAACACACACTTGAAGTCTTGAAGGTTAAAACTGTTGTTAAAAATAAAGACTGTAAATTTCTCTTCTTTTCTGTTCTTTGTAAGTTTTTATACCCTGTGTTCAACTGTAGGGTCAAAGGTCACAAAGGTTTGAAAACAGTCCCTTTACACAAATCTGACAAAGCTGTCACAAACTGAAAACCTTTTAATCACTGGAAACGATAACAGTATTTTCATGCATTGAAACATTTATTTACAGCACAGTGCAGCTCATGTCAGGTGGATCTTTTTTACTCCACTTCATCGATCTCCTCATCGGAGAACTGAAGGGAGAAACGAGGAGCAGCATAATCCTCCATGTTGGGGATTCCGTGCACCATGCAGCAGCTCAGAGCACTGCAGGAGATCTCCATATCACAGATGTTAGACCACTGACCCTTTTCAAAGTCATAGTTTTCAACATCACTGATAGTGATGAAGCCGTTGAAGCCCCCAACCACAAAAATGTGGTCATCAATCACTTCGATGCCGAAGTTACTGCGAGGTTTCAGCATGGAGGGCAGAGAGTGCCAGGTGCTGGTGAGGGAGTTATAGGCCTCAGCAGTTTCCAGACGGCTGGTTCCATTAAAACCACCAACCTGTAAGAGAAGACATCAGTATTGATTTATCTTTAAATTGTTTTTTTTTTTCAATCTCATGTTATACTCAGGATCCTTGTAAAGAAGGGCCATGACCTCTAAATTAGTTTTGGAGTATTTATGATAAAAAGTAGAACATTATTAAAGTAAAACTGTTAATTGTTGTTGTTTTAAGGCAATATTTATATTTATCTAACAATTTTCCTGGGGAATTTCACACTACTGCTTACATCTTTTGTGTCTTTGTGCTGCAGAGTGTCATGTGTTATGTAAGTATCAAGAATATATTCTTACTGCAAAAATGTGGTTTGCATATGCGATGACCCCAACTCCACTGCGCCTGAATCCCATGGGGGCTATCAGTGTCCACTGGTCGGTCTCTGGGTTGTAATATTCAGCTGATGACAGGCACTCGGACCCATTAAAGCCACCACAAACGTACACCTGGTTCAATAAGAAAGTGATGAAATAAGTGAGTAAGATGTAATAAGTAATCACTCCTCTCAGTACAGCCGAGAAGAAAAAGATGGTCATACGTTTTTAGAACATTATTTTTGACTTTGAATGTTGGCATGTGATCACTTACTGACAGCAAAATCTAAAAAATGAACTTGACTTATTAGGTTAAGTTTTATCAACTTTGTGTTGTACTTAAGCTAAGCTCAAATGATCAAAAAGTCAAACTACAAGTATGCAGCATCTACCACAGAGCTATCTCAGTTATTCCAAGAGTATTTGAGTTCCACCAACCTTGCCATTAAGGGTTGTGCAGCTGGCATCACTTCTCTGATCATGCATGGATGCAATTAAAGTCCACTGGTTGGTACGGGGCTCATAGCGCTCTGCAGTTTCCAGACGATCAAGTCCATCATAACCTCCAATGGCGTAAATGCACCCGTCCAGCACTGTTACGCTGACATAGCAGCGCTTTGAGTGCATTGGTGCGACCTCTTGCCAGGTGCGTGTGATCAGGTCAAACCTGGTCATTGTGCTGAAATGCACAACTCCATCAAAGCCACCTACACAGTAAAGTGATCCATTGAGGAAGACTGCACCATGGTAGGCCCTGGGGTCATCAGAATCGTTGGGTATTTTGGCCCAGCAGTCAGCGCGGATATCATACGCCTGGATATCATTAGTGGGGCCTCCAGCGCTCCATCCTCCAACAGCCAACATGATGGAAGACGGCAGTCGTGGCTGGGCCAAAGGGTTACTGGAAATCAAGTCAATGAAGCTCCTTGTCCCCTGGTCAAGAATGGTCTCCATGGTCTTGTTGAGAATTGCTTGACACTCTTCACTTGCTTTCACTAGTTCGTTGGTAGTTACACGTTCTAAGATGTATTGTCCTTTTATCAAAGCCAGCCTGACCTGTAACAAATGATGTAATCAAATAGTCAGAGAAGGGACCTAACTGATACTTCATTATTGCTAATAAGATCAGTCATCAAATATATATTGTACAAGATTTTAAAAAAGATCAGAGTTTTAAAAAAAGAATAAAAATTCAACAGTAATTATTGTGACAGATGGGACATAACTCATTCTTCCCTTACCTTTGACAGAAGCAGAAAGATGTATCCTCTGCGTTCCTCAGGTGCGTGGGTGATCCAGTGAATGATGGACTCAAACACCACCTTCTCCTTCTTCACATTGAGATGATCATTCTCAATAATCTGAGCCAGTTCCTGTGCAGAGATCTGCAGGAACTCTTCTGACGATGCAGCAACCTCCTCAAAGTGATTCAGAATGAAGACGGAGGCCTTGTGTTTCAGCTCGGGGTTGTAGTAGATATCTGCAAACCACCAGATGCCGATGCAGTTTTCTGGGGTAAGCTGATTCTCCAGTTGGTCACTGCAGGCCTGAATGATTCCCCTCACATTAAACTGGTCTGCTGCTATGAACAGCTCTCGGATGTTCTCTTGTGTCACATAAACACAGCCGGTGTAGGCAAACTCAACGATGAGCTTCATCATGTCAGATGAAATGTTGGGAATGTCAAAGACCCGACTGTCTGGGGTGGACCAGTGAGTAAAAAGAGCTCTGTGGGCCAGAAAGGAGGCAAAGAAAGACATTTGAAATAAAGTGGTTGATATATTCCCGTAGTATTCACACTTTATAAAACAACTGAACAATAAATCTAAAGCCCTTATTGCAGATGTTGCTGACTTAAAATGCAATGCCAAACAGAAAACAAAAGGAAATACATTGTACAGTAACTGCAACCGGCCACTTCACCAATCTACATATTTTTAAATTGTCATTACCCAGAAATCCGGTAAGATCTTTGTAATTTGAAAATGTTATTCATTTTATAATCGTTAAACAATTTGTCTTCAAACATTTAAGTTCATGTTGAACCTTTGAAGCTTTCAAGAAGATCATGAAATCATTTGAAAAAGTTACATCTACATTTTGATTTCACTAGCTCTCCAGTAAGTGTCACTCATCAACATTTGGTTTCATTGCAGTTTGTTACATCCTCTGAGCTTGTTTTTTTTCTTATTCAAACATTGGAAATCCCTCATTAATCCCTGAAAACTCAGTTTACCTGAAGTATGGGCTGCAGTTGCAGAGGATGACCTTGTGCACAGGAAATTCAACATTGTCCACTCTGATAACGGCATCACAAAGTTCCTGCCCTAACCGGAGCTCATTAAACACTGAGCTGGAGTTTAGCGTATTTTCACTCATCTTTACTCTTTGGTCTGATAACTTGCTCTCTTAATATGCCAGGAGGTTTCTCTGCTGACTACCCAGAAGTATCTGTAGATATGAGTACCCTCTCAAGCCACTGAAGGGTTCTAAAATGGACCATTATGAAGTCATAAGGATGTGTCACAACCAGCAGCCAAAATTCTAAAATAAACATTCTATAGAAAAGAATGATTAAGTTTGTCATCAGTTACCGAAGATTTTTTTTTCCTAGAATGTTAATTAGTATGAGTAGATAAAGTTTTAATACAGTCGATTATATTCAAGTTGCTTCACGGGCTGATTTCTCAAACAATGACTAACTTAAAGATGCTGCTACATCCTGTGCAGCTGCTGACCAATAGATTCACAATGCTGATCTTATAAAATCATTATGGTGAATATCCAGTTAGATTAGCACATAGATCAGCCTCTTTTGCCGTCTACAGGGTCAAATTCGACCAGAAACAGAATAAATAATAGATGCATATTGCTGAGCAGGCTGACCGATGATTGTTTCCAGTGAATTATGGCAACGAGGATAAAAAATGAAAAAAAAAATATTCAAAAAATAAAATCATGTTTCTACTCAGATAACTTGACAAAGACTCAGTTTAGTTGTATGTGTAGACACAACCCTGTATTATAGAGGTTTTTATACTGCATCAGAGTGCTTGGACTTTCAGTTTAGACTGTCTTTTCTTCAAAATAATCAGGACAGTTATTTATTTATTAACTATATATGTCACGGTTAAAAGATGAGACCCAAGAACTAATAACCAACATTTATTAAGTGATGTATTTTCCTTTATAGTGTTAAGTTATCAATATGCAGTATATATTCATTTTCATGCTACAATGACTATAAATGTTTTTTTTACACATTTCTTTAGTTTTCCTGTTTAAAGACCATGGATTTTCTAAATATAAGGTTTAGACATTAAGACCTTTTTTGGCAACTTACGATTCAAAGCATCTACAAGTTTTTTACAGGTGGTGGAACAGTCTGGATTCAGTTATAATATATCTTCATAACCTACATAAAAATACAATCCTTTTACCACTTAAAACAGCTAGTAGAGACCACGTGCCCAGGGCCCCAATATCTCATAATCCATCTATGATCATATGGGCCTATTTGTACATTTTGGAAAAGTCTGCAATAAGTGTGACTTTAGAGGTTAAACAAAAGGAAGCAGAAGACACATTTTTGTTTTTTAACTTTGTTTTTTATTTTTATACCCAATACTAGGGCAGGATCAGCTAAGAGAAAAAGAAAAAAAAGGAAAAGTTAAAAGGGATAATGACAGAGCGGGGGCCAAACTTTGAAGCAACCTACGACTGCCGTTCAACTGATGGAGAATTCAGGGATTTTGAAGGATTCAATCTTGGCCCTCGTTCTCCTTGACACACATGTGCACAATACATAAAGGTCACACTTGACATTTCACGGGGTATAAAAGTGACCAATACGATTGATGATGGCCTAGCTTCTTAGCTATATCTTGTTGTTGGATTGCTACTATTTTTAGAGACCTAACATTACAAGGGTCCTAACATTTTAAATCGCATTTAAAAATTACAACTACTGAGCAACACAATCAGTTACTTGTAAGTTAACCTAGGTGTATGGACCTAACTACAACAAGGTGAACTGTTGTTGAAAAATAGTAGCGGCAAACGGCTGTATTGCCTCATTGCTATGGGTTCTGCATGTTTAAAAAATCTGAAAAAGTTACATCCTTTTTTTTTGCCAAATAAATGGACCATAAGCTGGATCTAGATCTTCTTATGGCATATTGTAGTTGTCCACAACAATCCACACAAAATGAAAGCTCCTTATAGTTGCTTCAAGACCAGGCAGTTTATTGGAAAATAAACTTTTTTTTTTTTTTTTTTTAAATGTCCTAAAACTTCCAGGATTTACTTTGGAAAACTCAAACCTTGTCTGGTACACACATGTAAGAAAAATAATTAGTCATATGTTTTTTTTAAGGAAATTTGTCTAAATAAAAACATGAAACAAGTTAGTCTACAAGAACAAGAAAACCAAGGCCTATGGACTTTAAACTAGGGGGGTGCTAATGTTCAACAAAACCTCTTTAATGACCTTTTTTTATGAAGTGTTAGTGAAATGTACTGGCACACCCAAGCCACTTTTCAGACTATGAGTCCATAAAAAAAGCCTAATTGAAAGCCATCTTTGCTTGTTAAATCCAAACATACCACACAAAAATACACAAAGATTGACATGTTCTGAAAACCAACATTTACCTCTGTCATAGTTAGGTTTCTTTAACCCCACTGATCTTCCATGAAAACTGACATTTTCAGGATTTAAAAAGGAAAGCAAACAGGAAACTAAATCTTTCCCAGCTGGTGGAGTGGAATCCTTGTCAATTGAGCAATTGCTGGAAAAATCCAAGCTGACAGAGTCTCTGTTCTCCTCTGCAGAGTGTTTTGATTCGCCACACGTTTCTTTGAATGTCACTTCTTCCCTCTTGTCCTGCAGGTTTGACCACGTGTCCTCTAGCTGGAAACACAGCTAACAGTATTTTTGAGAATCAAACATGTTGCTGATTTTGGTGCGTGGTGGGGGGAGCACAGGGGTGTACTTTGCCTGGTCATAGACGTCTCAGTCGGTGGAGAACAAGTCTCCAGCAGAGGGGAGTGGTGCCAGACCCCCGGTCACGTTGGGCAGGAGGGACAGGTCAGGGAGGCTCTGGATGTGGGACTTCAGCTCTTTCCTCACCATGGTAACCCTTGCCAATTTCTGTTTATACTCCTGCAGAGAAAAAGATGACACAGAACCAATATGAAAGATTACTTATTTATACATTACAGTTGTCCTTCAAAATGTCTTTGACTTCACCTTACTGACATGTTTGAGATACATATGGAAAATAAAATATTTGATTGCATCACAATTAGATTTTTTTTTTTTTTTTTAAATACTTTATTAATCCCTGAGGTCAATTCTGGTCAAGTGACATGCTGCTCACACACATGCACAAACAGGACCTGTGGACAGCATTAGTGGAGTGATGTCAGAGTGGGGCTTCTACACACTGCTACGTAAGGACACAATAGAGCAGTTGGGGGTTCTGTGTCTTGCTCAATGGGCACCTCGGCAGTGCTTTGGGAAGTGCCCTTGCACCTGTCCACCTACCTGATCAACTTCCTTACTTTGGTTTGAGACCCTCTGATTCCCAACCCAAGTCCCTACGGACTGAGCTACTGCCGCCGCCATGAGTTATTTATTTGTGTTGTTTTGCCTAAATCTATTTGATCTTATCACACCAATCAAAGTAAGTTCTTACAGCTTAAAACATATATAGGCAGGACACACAAGACCTCAGATGTTCAGATAAGTTGTAATAAATCGAGATTTATGATAAAACAATCATATCTTGTTTTAAAAGAAAACTGATCAAACTACAAAACGCAGAGTTGGTAAAAGGTGATCCAGAAACCTGTGATAGATGTGGGAGTATGCATCATTTTTCCTCGTCACATGTATCTGGACCTTTTCCCTATTCACACATTTCCCTACCTAACTTGATTAAGGTCAGGTCAACCACAGTAATTGATACACCTTTTGATTTGTGCCAGTTGATAAAAAGGTTCTTGAAAACGAACCAACATACATGAAGTACAGGAGTATTTTGCCTTTTTGATGCAAGACAAGACTTGTGATGGTTGTTTACAATGTGTAGTATTATAATCACTCGATGTTCTGACTTGTGACTATCATATTAAATCTTACATTCATGATATCTGTTGTAATATGTTGAGTAAATAGTATCAGCATAGTCATACCTGGAGCTCACCTGGGTGTGAGTCTGAACAGACAACACAACTGTATTTAATGTCAACAACACTGTACTTGGCTTAATCTGTTACTTCACTGATCATTCTTCTAATAAGGCATTGTTTATTTTGATTTCATCATCCACTTAATAATCTATGATATGCTTTATGTTTTTGAAATTTTACGTATATTTTGAAAACATATTTATCTTATCTAATTATTTCAGCAAATAATGGTATCAGAAAAAGTGACTTAACACATGTTGTTCATGAGAACGGAAACAGGTTCAGACTGTGATGAGAAGTATCTGGTTCACTGTTTATCGTTTGTTATTTTTGTGTGTGCAGTGCCTTGCCTCAAGTTTCTTCTCTCTCTCCGACAGCGCCTCTCGCTGGCTGCCGATGTATTCAGTGAGCATGCGAGCCAGCTGCCTACGGTCCTCCAGCTCTGCGGCGAGTCGACCATTGTATTCAGCCAACAGCAAACAGGCTTCATCCACAGTCTTCGACAGCTTGTCTGCTGCATCCTTGTCTAGATCGGGCATCAAAGTCGGATGCTCAAATGATATTACATTTGTTTTTTTTATATTCTTTGAGCATCATTGCTTATATGCATGCACTTTGAGTTGTCTTCTTTGCCCTACATTGGTCAACATGTATCATTTTATAACTTGTGCTTAAGGTTTTTTTGCAAATGAAATTGTTATAATTACTTAAGCTTGGACTCAATCATGTACAAAATGTTGCTATAAAACTGATCAAATAAATGATACAGGTAGACTGTAGCAAATATACACAAGTTCAAAAGTTTTATACATGTTTGCTTACATCATATCATCAACGTGCTTTTATCTGCTTGCATTACCAGAAAAAATGAAATCTAACTATGGATTACATTTACTTCTGATCAAGCTTAGAACTCAGACCTTACCAGTGATTTTCTCGAGCAAGGAAACGTCTTGGACTTCCTGTGGCAGGGAGGCAATCTTCTGACGAACTGCTGCATCTCCTGACGCAGCGTTCTCCAAGTCCTGCAGGGCCTTCACAAGCTCCTCCGTCTGAAACAGGATGAACAGAGGAGGATAGTTAACAGGTGCCGAGGAGGAGTGTGGAAATCATTCAGCATGGAGAGCAAACATTGAGTTTGTGTGAGCAAGGTAGAGAAGAAGGGAGAGGAACAAGAGCAAGGAGAAAGGACATCGGTGAAGAAAATAAAGTGATATCAACTTCATTGTGTTTCTCTTACCAGTTGCGTTGCCGAGATGTCTGTGGTGTGAGGAGAGCTGTGGCTTCTGTAGTCATCATCTTCATCATCTTCCTCTTCCTGGACCTTCTGATAGCTTCGTTTCACAGGCTTCTTCTCTTCTATGAGGCCAGGTTTAGAAATCAACATTTTATCAATGTCACTAATTAAGATGAGGCATAAGCATTCAAAACAACCTCTTCACAAAATGATGATTTTAATAGATTAGCAGATTTTTTTAAATATATCTTTTCATGTTTCTTTATTCCAATTTTAAATTATTCTTAAAAAATTATATTTTTCTATTTTGTAGAAGGAGAGGGGAACTGACAAAAAATTAGCTTAGAGGGCTGATCAACCCTTAATTACACCTTTGACCTGTCGAAAGCTCAGTTATCTGAACTGACAACGTTTTATGTGCCATATGGATGGATTTAAAATATGAGTGAGTGAGTGGATTGATTCATAAGTCCTTACTGGGTTAATTAAATTAATAAACTGAATGTTAATGTTCGACTCATGTATACATAAAGTATCTGTATCATTTTAAGTGAAGCTGGCCCTGATCTCTTGTGTAGCCTGAGGTGATCTCACCTGAAGGCCTGGGACTGTTGGAGTCTTCTATGGCCAGTTTGAGCTGCTGAATGAAGTCTGCTCTATAGAGGCTCCTCTCCTTCCAGATGTTCAGCAGTCTTTCCATTGGCTTTTTACAGCTCTCTTCAGCCTCCCTAGGATCAACAGAAAAGTATAGCGGAAGAAGAGAGGAATGCAAAAATAAAATCAGTGACCAACAGCTGAAAAACATTTCCATAAGAACAGTTTGGATTATTTCATAACTGCATATTGCATGTTTATTCTGAAGTTTTTTCTTCTTATAGGGCTATATACAGTATGTTCTCTCAAAATTTAATTTGAGAGAGGAAGACAAGCCTAAGGACAAATAAGTCAATATTTATTTTCAGGTTCTGATTTGGGTGGATGAAAGAAATTTCAACTCATTTTTTATCATGATAGTTTTGATACAGCCACCTTTTTAAGAACTTCTGGTGTTTCTTTTCAGTTTCATAAAAACATAACTTGAAAATTCAGCTATCATAGCAATAGCTAATGTTTATGAGTGGTTGTGTGTGCCACAAACCAACACACGCACACATTTAAAAATGCACACAGAGCACCTACTACACACATATAATCACGTAACATTCACCTGGCAACATGGGAGCAGGCATCAACGAGAACAGTCTCAAAGTCTTTTGCAAACTCGGGTCCTTTCTTCTTGCTGTTCTGGATGACATCGTTTGCCAGATACAGAAACGTCAGCTTCCTGCTGGTTTTGGCTGGAGGACAGAAAAGTCATATTGAAATATTCATACCGAAAAAAATGTCACAATATCATCATTCTGTGATGGTCAATGCACTGCTCAAGATACCACTTTATTCTGCTTCAGATACTCATTTCCCACTATGTTTCACCTCTCAACCGGAAGGTCGAGGGTTCGATCCCCAGCCGAGCAACATGTCCAATGTGTCCATGGGCAAGACTCTTAACCCCGCATTGCTCCTGCTGCTTCAGTGGCGGTGTATGAATGGATTAGTGTTGAACTTACTCTCTGATGTAAATGTTCAAACCTCATAGTCAATGCTTTTTTAAACATTTAGTGTACCAATAATAAAAACTAAGGCATGTCACACTTCAAAGTTTTGGACAGTTTGTTGTTGCCTCCTTTCTTTAGGAGCTTCAACAAAAATACCTTTGATCACAGTTTTCTTTAAAAACTATTTAAATCTATTATATTCCCATAGGTAGTTCTTACATGTTGGGATTTAATATGCTAAGTCAGTTTCCCATCATTGTTAATAAGGGTTTTTAACCTTGTTCAGACAAAACAAGCATTGTTTATCTTGGATAAATTTAGCATATAGAGCTGGCACACTATAAAACTTGTCTAATAACACTTTACGGTAATTCAGAAACAGTATTACAAGTTAGACAGTTGTATAATCGAATGAATAAAGTAAGTAACAGCTGGTCAAAGATCAGCACACATATAAAAGGCTTTGCAGTAGCAGGTCTTACATTTCTTCAGCTCTCTGTGCCACACTTTGACGATGAGGGCTGAGTGTTTGCGGTGGTGGATGATCCACAGGGACAGAGTCTGGACACTCTGCTGCGAGCTGCTCAGCTCTGTCAGCTTCTTTTCCAGGGCAGACTCCGAGAAGGACGACATGCCAGTATACTGACACTAAACTGAACTGACCCTAAACAGAACTGACCCTAAACCGAACTGACCCTAAACAGAACTGTCTCTAAACAGAACTGACGCTAAACAGAACTGACCCTAAACCGAACTGACCCTAAACAGAACTGTCTCTAAACAGAACTGTCTCTAAACAGAACTGACGCTAAACAGAACTGACCCTAAACCGAACTGACCCTAAACAGAACTGACCCTAAACAGAACTGTCTCTGAACAGAACTGTCTCTGAACAGAACTGACTCTGAACAGAACTGTCTCTGAACAGAACTGACTCTGAACAGAACTGACTCTGAACAGAACTGACTCTGAACAGAACTGCTCCAACCTAGTTTGGAAAAAGTCGCACGCTCATCAAAAGTGAAGTAGCGTCGCTACATGTAGCATCAAACTGCCTCCTCCGGAAGTGTTTTCTAATGTGAAATCCTTTCTTCTTCTTCCTGATCTTTTGAGAAAAATCTACTGAACAAACCTGCAAAGCATGAGCTCGTTTTCGGCTGTGGTTTCTTCACAGTCTTTGGTGTTGTTTATAGCCAAGGCTAACATTAACTAGCAAAGCTAAGTAGCCATCTGCAGAACCTGCAGCCCTAAGCTAGGCTTAAGCTCGAAGTAATCGATTACGATTATAAGTTTTTTTTTAAAAAGCTTCTGTTACAGTCGTACCATATTTCCGAAATACGCAGACAAATAAAACGCATCTGCTAATGCCTGACGGTGAAGCTCAAACTTGATATTTGCTTGTCTACAACCTACTCAGAAAGATGCCTTCTAAAAAATGGCAGCTTGCACTTTCACCTCGACATGTGCGTCGCACAGTAGTGACGCAAACAAAGCCAGGCATCATCTTCCTCTTCATCCAGGGATGAAGATATAAACAACAAATCCCAGCCTTGCATTCAAGGCTATTTTTGAATGCTGGCCTTCAATACTACCTCAGCAACTTGTCAAGAAATTATCTCTCATCTAGTTTTATATTTAGTCCTAATCCAGAATGTTGGACACAAATAGGCTAGTGGAGTATTTTCAATAACATCTCTGTCACATGTTGGAAAACACATTCACCTAATTTTAGTGTGATGTTAACTCACTTGTGTTTTTTTGGTAAACATATTCCTTGTGGATAAAGTCCAAATACATAGAGGAAAGCATTTTGTTTTAAGTCCTCCTAATGTAAATATGATTCCACCCATTGTTTAGTCAAGACATATTTACAATTGCCACTTTTACCTCATGAGAAATTATTTTTTTTACTTTATTTAAATCTATTTGACAATTAAATGAAAAATAACATTGATGAAGAGATATATCTTGATGGTGAGTCAAGCAAAGCGTGTAATCGGCCTATCGGAAACACATTCATACAGCTGCTTGATTAGAAATATTAAGCTAAAACTTTTTTGTTCATCCTCTTTTAAATTAATCCGTCAATCAGTCATTTAACCCTTATTAAAAACTCAAAGAATCATTGATGGATACAGAACAAATGACACAAACATACTAATACAAAGGGTGGCAACAACACCGTTTAAAACAGTTGCATGTAAAGGCAAAAAATCTGTTTTAAAATGACCCAAAGGTACAGATGTATGAATCAGTGAATCAATCAATCAATCTTTATTTGTACAGCACCAATTCATTACACGTTATCTCAATACACTTTACCAAAAAGAGCAGGTATATGCACTTTTTGTTATATTATTTACAGAGACCCAGCTAAAACAACTACGCTTGGCAAATTTAACAAGTACTCTGGCAAGGAAAGACTTCTTTTTCACAGGCAGAGACCTTGAGCAAAACCAGGCACACATTGAGCAGCCATCTGCTGTGACTGTAGGTACTTACAGATTGAAAGTTGAAGGCGGGATACTTATGTCCAAATAGTGTCGCAAAGTCGCTATCATGTTATCAATGTTATCCCAAGACCCTTTACAAAAAGAGCAGGTAAAAGACCTTAGTTATTATTGTATGGGGGCAGCAGTAGTTCAGTCTGTAGGGACTTAGGTTGGGAACCGGAGGGTCGCCGAATCATGTCTCGATGCGAACCATAATATGGAAGTTGGTCTGGTAGCTGGAGAGGTGCCAGAGCACTTCCTGAGTACCGCCTAGTTGCCCTTGAGCAAGGCACCAAAGGATACATAAGTTATGCATAATTAGGGATGTGGCTGGTATGAATGCAAGTGTGCATGTTGTAACTGTTTGAAGGAGGATTAAGGCGCGCTTCAGCTCCTCCTCAGTGCCTGTTACTAGGTTGAGTTAGGCTGGGACCTCATTTTCAATATGGTGACCACCACCGTTGGGCTTCAAAACACCCCTTCAGTAACCAATGGGTGGTGTCCATTTTTCATACAGTTTGGTTAATACCTGCAATGGTGGATGAGGAGTGTCACAATTTCACCCAAACATTCTGCGACCAAGTTTTAAACATTCATGCTAGTTGTAGGTGTAGCCTTTGTATCCTGCCCTCAAACTGACAGGATACTTTTGCCTCTGTTACTACCTCCGACAGCAGATCAGGAGCGTAAAGGCATTGCTCCACCAATCCGCATCTCTGTGTGATACACCAGTGGTTCCAAGACTGTCTCAGCTGGTCCCCCCTTTGGTAGATGAAAATAGTTTCAATCCCCCACCCCATAAAAACATATACAATATACAATAATCACACCGTCAGTCATGCTCTTTGCTTAGAAATTCCTTTATTTTAAAGTAAAGTAGACGCAGACTGATGACTGTTATTGGATTTTCTGTTTGTCTGTCATCGGAGTAAAGGGCTAACAAAATTAATAAAGATTAAAACAATAGTAAAACCAAAGAAAATTATAGACATGTAGGCATATCAAATGTAATCTGTAAATTGGCTTAAGATAAACCTGTTTTAGTTTTTTGGGTATCAACACAGCAGGGAATAGGAATTTAAAATCATAATACAGCTTGAGAAATACATTTTTTTAAACTACACATCTGTATTTAAAACGGCATTTTAGCGAAGCCGTAAAGAGTTAGTCTGTAACATAATACCACAACAGCTTTTTCCCTGCTGCTGTGAGACTTGTAGCACAGGACATTAAGATGGGAAGGAAGTACTTCACCCCACACCTCACAGACTAAATGAACAGCTGACCACCTCACAGTGCAATACAAGTGTGCAATATTATCTTAAAAACAAAAAACAGTGTAATTATATAATGTGAAAAATATTTTCATTTCATTGTACAGTGTTCCCCTTTGTTATTTTTTGTATTATATATTTGCTTTAATACAGTGTATAGCTTCTGTACAGTTTATTTTAATTTACTTAGCTGTTACTACAACTTATTATTTTATTTTTTTATTTGTACTTTCTTATAATGCTATTCTATTTTATATATAATTTTAACTTTTTGTAGAAGTTGACTCAGAGAGAAACGTACAAAAATTCCAATGTACCTGTACTGTCCTGTACCTGTGCAAATGGCAATAAACATCTATTCTATTCTATTCTAATATCTGAGAAGCATATTGCTACGCATTTGCAAACATTTAATATGTTTAGAGATCAAAAGACTTATTTTTTCAAAGTATACTCAGAAACCCAATAGTGGTAAAAGCACAAGTGTGAATCATAAAGCTGACGATGACTGCATTACAATATAATGCTAAATCATCTGCCTGATCTGCATGTTTGAATATAAATCATTGAAATTTATAAAGTAATATATCTTCTGTTGAAAAAAGTATTAGTATGTTATGCTCAAAGCTTTGTGTTTGTACAGGCATGAAGATTTACATGTCCATTTGCCTCCATAATTCTGCGGTTGACAAAATGCACAATATTGCTGTCAAAACATTGGGTTTGGGACCTGGATGTTGGTAACTATCAGGCAAATTGTATGTTGCTTGAACAGGTGGGTTTAACGAAATGAGCCTCAAATATCAACCAAAATGCAAATTCAGCCACACCTGTAGAAGTCTTTCTCATGACAGGCATTTTAACAAAGAAGTTACTTGTAAAACAGCGAGCGTACAATTTCAAACTGGTTCACTTCAGTTCAGTGCAGTTCAGACCTTTATTGTCCCTGGAAGGTACATTTGATTTACAGCAGTGGACAAAAAAACACAACAGATAAAAATACACAGGACAGTGCAACACAACCTGATGGAACTGGTAGTTGATAAGTTTATATCTGTTGAAGCCTGTACCTCCGACCAGAGGGGAGAAGAACAGATTCCTCCAACAGATGATGGTCAGAGCAGGACAAGATCGACTTTGCTTTCCTCACAATTTGTCTGTTCCTGATATCTGTTAAGGAAAGCTGCTGAGTGCCAATTATTTTACTGGCTTTGTTAACAATACTGGAAAGATGAGTCTTGATGTGCACTGAAAGGTTACCATACCATGAGATAAAACAAAAGGTTAAAATGTACTCAATAAAAGATCAGTAGGATGCAGGCTTTTTTAAATATATATTAATTAAGTCTATCTGTAATTTCCCACCTTAAAAAATGTCTTTTGTGGAAAAGGCTAACTGGCCAAGAAGTATTTGGTCAAGTCTGATTTTACCACCGAATACTCTACTTGTACATTACATAACCAAGTGTAAGTGGAAAATAAAGCGTTTAGCTCAAGCTGTAAACTGTTTTATGTGTCATCTCATGTGCATTCAAGTTCAGGTGAATGCTGATTATAGTTTTCCATGAATGCATACACACTTCAATTAAATATGGTGTTTTGCAAAACACTTAGTGTAGTCTTCTGCGAAAAGTATGAAGCTGACGATGTGGGTATTATTGTAGAAATCTTGGCTGGCATTTTGTTTCTTAGAGTTTTGAGTTTCATGCGTAAGTAAGAACTCAAAAACTGCAATAAGGAAAATTTAGAATACAAAAGTTTATGTAATTAACCTCATTCTTAGAGATGCATTGACTGCAGGTAGTTCTGAAAGTAACACTCTGAATAAAAACAAATATGATACATGTAAAAGCCTATTAAGAATCTATTAATAAATATCATGATCATGGGCACCGGTAGCCTAATGGGTATGGTGCGTGCCCCATGTACACAGCTGTGGTCCTGGCGGCGGCACAGGTTTGAATCCGACCTGAGGCTCTTTTCCCGTATGTGGCTCACTCTCTCTTTTCCAGTATTCTGATTCTATCCACTGTCCTATCTATAAAGGCAAAAAAAAAAAAAAAAAAACCTTTCATCAATGATTGACACATTATGTAACATGGCATAATTAATCAGTCTATTTCTATTTTGTTTTAATATTTGAAATCTGTTATCCGTAATAAACAGAAAAAAGGTTCAATGAGTAATAAGCATGATGTGCTAGAATAAAGGTGCAACATAAAGTGAAAACGAATTTCAGTGTATTTTATTCAATAGGGACGATGCAGTTTAATGTAGATTCAACACAAAGCATGAAACTGATGTGCTGAACAAAGAGTATAGGCATTGCTTTGGGTAAACAGAGTATGAAATAAACAACATCAACATCATAAAACCACATAAAATATGAGGATAAATTAAAATTTATATAAAACAATATGTCAATAAAAAACTCTATAAACCAATCTTCAATTAAAGAAATAATGATTAAAGATGGGTATATCTCAGATTTGCTTTAAGCCAGCATTTACTCTTTTTGTAAAATGTCTTGAATCTGGAATGAATTTTCTTTCAGGTGGTAATGTGTTGAGCCTTTTGATGGAGAAAGCTGATTGTCCAAATGTAGATATATGAATTTGTATGTGACCGTTTCAGTCACATGAAATACCCATAGACTGGAAATATTATAGGATGAAAAAGATACCTCAAAATTTTACTCAAAGCTAAACTAAGCATAAAATGAATAAAAAAAACACAAATACAATCTCAACAAAGGAATGACACTGTGGCCTCAGGGGCCTTATCTTTGAAATTGTATACATATCAGCAATACGTTTTTACAATGAATCTATTACACTGTTTTGGTAGGTTTATTCAACCAGTGTATGGCTTTGTGTTTGTCATGTTACCGTTTTATGTCATGGTTTCCTTTTTCATGGTTTATAACATTTATGCAATTTATTTAATTGGATGGAAAGTCCACAGTCACACACACAAAACAAACATGCAAATATACCTCACTCAACCAACACTCCCCGGAAAGATGCAAAAGTGGTCCTCTCATCATCTCCCCCCCTCCCTCCATCCATCCATCCACCCTTTTAAAAACAGGCCCTGATCCGTTTTGCAAACCAAACTCAGCTTGTGAAGAGTTGTGGACAAGGTGGAGGTAAAGTGAGGACATGTTTGGGGCTGTGTTTCTCTCTTTGAGTTGGCTGATACTGCAATTATCTGACGGGGAACTGGATTACATATCCAAAGGAAAGGGCATGCAACTGCAAGGGGACTTCTCTATCGCTGGACTCTTTCCTCTCCACGACACAAAGGGACCGAGTGATGGTCTGCCTGCTTTGGGTCAATGTAATGGGTGAGGGAGGAAAAGTAAACATCCAACTACAATACAACCAGTATAGATACTGTTTTGTGTTTGATCATCCACAGTTTTTACTTGATATTAATTAATTAATTGACTTGCCTTTTCTAGAGGTACCCAAAACAAACACGGATTTCACCTGTTGCAGGCCATGAGATTTGCGGTGGAAGAAATCAACAACAGCAGCACAGCACAGTCTCTTTTACCAGGACTGAAGCTGGGTTACCAGATTTACGACATCTGCTCTGTATCAGCGGGTCTCCTGGCCACACTGGATTTGTTGCAGAAGCACTATAACATTACCTCCTCATCTGGGCAAGAAAAAGACAATGAATCAATGTACAACAGCAGTCAAAGGCCAGTGGCTGTGGTTGGGCCGGACAGTAGCAGCAAATCGTTCACCCCTGCTGCTGTACTAGGAGCTTATCTTATACCACAAGTAAGCTTTTATCATTGCCTTAAAGTTATAAAATATTCCACATGACATGATAGGCATACATAAAAGACAAAATGACTCCTTTAATGCTCTTGTTCTATTTTAGATATCTTATGAAGCATCAAATGAAATGCTGAGCAACAAGTTCCTCTACCCAGCCTTTCTTCGCACCATTCCTAGTGACAAGAACCAGGTGGCAGCTATGATCCAGCTTCTAGTTAAATTCAATTGGACGTGGGTTGCTCTCTTAGGCAGCGACAACGCCTATGGCCTGGAAGGAATGCAGAGCTTGTCCGAGCTAGCGCCACTCCACGGCATCTGCATCGCCTACCAAGGAGTCATCCCCACGTTCAGCGCTGACACAATCCAGAACATGAGGAACATAGTGACCGGCATACTGACAACCAAAGTCAACACCATTGTGGTCTTCTCCAGCAAGTCTAAACTAAAAGGCTTAATTCCCTACATCGTCGAGCGGAATGTGACAGATAAGGTTTGGATTGGCACAGAGGACTGGTCAACATCTTCACAAATATCAGGGATACCCGGGATTCACACCATTGGCACTGTGCTTGGTATATCAGTCATATATTCAGCCATATCTGGTTTTGAGGAGTTTGAGAGAAAGCTAGCTGAAGCTTCAATGCTACAAAGTGACACAGAGGAAGTCAACGTTACAATGAGCTCAGGCAACGAGTGTCTTCAAAGCACAGACCTGTACAGCCTAGCCAGGAACAAGTTTCCTCTGGACAGGTATGACATTACCTCCTCCTTCAATGTGTACAAGGCAGTGTATGCTGTGGCTCATGCTCTGCACAAAGCACTTGGTTGTGATTCGGGAGCATGCCAAATGAGGAGAGTTGATCCATGGGAGGTGAGCAGATGTAAACTTGTTTTTTTATTTTTAGAGTTTCTTTGTTCTTCAATGTAAAATCTCTCAAAACCACTGTTTTGTTCTGCACTGATGTTTCCTTTTTCCTCATCACCTCAGCTCCTCTGGTGGCTCAAACAGGTGCGATTCTCTCTGGACAACACCTCTGTTTACTTCGACATCAATGGTGACCCACCGACAGGATATGACATCATTTTGTGGGTTTGGAGGGGGGCAGAATGGTCTGTCAGAAAGGTGGGCTCCTTCAGCCCAGATCCAATTTTGCTCACAGTTGACAGTGATGAAATTGAATGGCATAACATGGCCAATTCTAGAGAGGTAAGACCTATTGGACTATTCTGCAAACCACAAAAACTCTAAACTTTTTTTCGACATGTTATAAAGTGCAAATATGAAGCAGTTATAAGAGAGAAAAAAGTCTTATTGGATAAATAAAGTTGTGAAAGCCATGATTTCAGTGAATCCTGAAAAAGAAATCCCCAGCATAAAATACACTGTTCATATCATTCTCTTGTATTTTGAAATAAAAACTAATAGAAATTTACACATCATGTTCAGCAATGCAACAGGAAATGTCGTTTATAATGTTATAATCTTAAAGTTTTAGTGATATCTAACTTATTTATGGAACAAAATTAGACATTACAGATTCACTCTCTGACCCCATTGGATAATTATAAAAGTATAAGTATGGACCTTTTTAGTAATTTCTGTATTTGCCTGTATGATCTCGTGTATCAAGGTGCCACTGTCTATCTGTTCTCCACCTTGCCCGCAAGGCCATAAGAAACTGCAGACAGGACAACACACATGCTGCTTTGACTGCCAGGCCTGCCCGGCTGCCACTTTCCTCAATACAAGTGGTAAGATAAAGACACAGAAAAATCACAAGGAAATATTCAAACACTGAGAGTATAAAAGAAAAGATAGAAATATTGTGTTTTTAAAATTGAATATTTCTCCATGTGAGACTAAATGAAAGATATCAACAAGAATATACATCCTAAGTGCATCTGATGCACTTAGGATGGAAAGAAAAGAAAATTTCTGTTCTTTTTAATTTTCTATTACTGGAGCTACTGAAATTCTAGATGAGCAAAATGATCAATCTCTTCTACTGCACAATTGTCTAGCTGTTGTGTGTAATGTTGACCAGTAGGTGGCGCTGAGTACTTGTATTTTAATCCTGAGGCATGCTCCAAAAGGATGCAAACCGCTGTTTGAAAACATGTAGTGTCTTTCCTGTTTGATTCTCAGTTTTAAAGATTAACTCAAATCTATTAAGCAAGAAAGCCGTTCCAGTTTTAAATTCTTTGTTTTCAATACATGCTGTTTTTTATTTTCTTAGACCCCACCAACTGCCAAGAGTGTCTGTGGCAACAGTGGTCTCTCCCGCAAAGTGAGCAATGTCTGAACAGGACAGTCCTGCTGCTCGCTTGGGACAATCCTCTCTCCATCGCACTCCTCTTCTTTCTGGCCTCCTGCCTTCTGATGACCTCCAGCTCTGCAATAATCCTTCTGCTCAACCTGAACACTCCAGTGGCCAAGTCTGCCGGAGGTCGCACCTGCCTCCTGATGCTGGCAGCTCTGACCGCTGCTGCCATGAGCTCTTTGTGTCACTTTGGCCCGCCATCTCCTTTGGCCTGCATCCTCAAGCAGCCGCTATTCAACGTCAGCTTTACTGTGTGCCTGGCCGCCATAACTGTGCGCTCCCTCCAGGTCGTCTGCATTTTCAAATTTGCATCCAGGTTGCCACCAGCCTACGACAAGTGGGCCAAAAAACATGGGCCAGAGTTCACCATATTCCTGGTGTCCGTCATTGTCTTGTTCATTTCAGTTCTCCGGGTGTCTATAAACCCACCTGTGCCTGACCAGGACCTTGACTTCTACGAGGACAGCATCGTGTTAGAGTGCAGTAACACCCTCTCACCTGGTGCAGGCCTTGAGCTTGCTTATGTTTCTCTGCTCAGCACCCTCTGCTTCTTTTTCAGCTACATGGGCAAAGACCTGCCAGCTAACTACAACGAGGCAAAGTGTGTCACCTTCTGCCTCATGGTGTACATGATCTCCTGGATGAGCTTCTTCACTGTCTACCTCATTAGCAGAGGCCCTTTCACCATTGCTGCACAGGTGTTTGCAGTACTCTTCAGTGTCCTGGCCTTCTTTGGGGGCTACTTCCTGCCGAAAATTTATATTATTGTCCTAAAGCCACAGATGAACACAACTGCCCATTTCCAGAACTGTATTCAAATGTACACTATGAGTAAACAATGAAGCCTCTACATATCCAGATGACAAAAAGCAATGATAAAGGCCTGCAAGTTGAAATAACGGGAGCAAAACTGATTGAGTTTGAATTTAATATATATGTAGAAGCTAAGTGAAAAGTCGGATGAGTTCTATACAGTTGTATTAGTATTAGATTAGTAGAGAGATCAGTGGAGCTGCACTTCTGTAGTCCGCATCATTAGACTGTCCCATAAACGGAACTTACAACATTATGCCAATTCAATTTATTATAGTTTTTATTTTCACAACTTTCCCTCTTTTTCAACATGCCAAATGTCTGTTTAAAAAAAGACCGACTGAACTTCTCTTTTTAAAGTCCTTTGAAATACAAGAATTTACATCCTATCTACACCTAATTTAATGTTTCATAATTTTATTTAGTTAAAACTATTTTTTTTGCACTTCAGGTTATTGACAAGTAAGTTGTACGTCTCATCAGAGTCTGAATATAAAGCTTATTTTAAAGCTGCCACTGGTCTACTACTCCTTTCCAAGGCATAAAGAAAATCAACACCTTGCTGTAGTAGGTTGTGACTGTGACGGTATTGCTGTTGCATTTATTTGAGTGAATATATTTATTAAATGAGAAAAAAGAGCATGTTGGAATGGTTTTATATTTTAGGAAAGTTTCAGTTGTTTCCAGAGTATTAGAAACTGAAAATATCTACTAATTGTGAAACTCAAACATATATGGGTTGTATTGAATTTCATTAAGTTACTTGTTACATGTTACATTTTAAAATATTCGCTCAGGTCCACAATAAAAAAGTGAATAATCATATTCCCAAAATCTGGCATCTGGTCACAGACAAAAGGTTTCAGCATGTTGAAAAATCTCATTGAATGTCAATTTGCAAGCACACATATACACACACGCGCACGCATGCACGCACGCACACACACACACACACACACACACACACACAAACACACACACACAAACACATGCTGTTGGCTGTTGTTTGACAGGAGAGATGAAAAGGCTTTTGTGGTTGGGAGGTCAGCGCTATTGACCAGTAGATGTGTGAGTAGAGCCCGGGCTTGGTTTTCCCACAGTCTCTGTGTCCACTCAAGGCTTAATACCCTCAGTCAACAATAGAAGTGTGCCATGGGTGAACAAGCAGGGGTTTTATTGTCAGCACACCCAGGACCAGAGTGCGCTGCCGTGGGGGAGATCTCAGGAGTTTTATTTGACCAGCTTTTTGATCCAGTGCATATTGGAAGAATTGGTATCCATCAGCAAACTTTATTTAGAACAAGTGGGCTTCACCTGGAGGTCAAAAACCTGAACCAGCTTTCTATTGGTCTGACACAGCTGGACTCAGCAGTGGTTGAATTTGTTCCAAGATTCCCTACAATCCCTTTTCAAACCATAAATGTAACACTACCCATGTACTGCTGCTTCATACCAGTGAAAGTCTCTGTTATCAACAATCTGAGTTGATGTAGTTTCAACAAGTCACATTCTAGATAACTTTCTTGAGCACTCTAGATGCAGAAAGATGTTGCAGATGAGATGACTTAATTGGGAACAAACTTCATCGGTAACAGTGTTTTAAGAAGATGAGAGGATATCCTATGATGTGTACAGTCTTCTAGTAAAATGTGCAAACAAATAAATGATCCATTGTATCCATATAACTCTGATATTATGTCCAATAGATTGTCTTTGTTCCAGACAGCAGATATATACATATGAATGTGCTTACACCTAATTCCTTTTCCCTGAATGCCATCAATGCATTTAAACCATTAAATAACTCCCTGGGAGCACATGGCTGGATATTGTTCTCCTGTGTCCAATATGTGAGATAAGTAACAGCTCCTGATAATGACTGACAGCACATCTTTCTCAGTCTGATAGTTTGAGATATTTGGATGTTTTGGGAACATCTCAATATGCTCGTTGAATTATTGACTTCTTTACTATTGTTCCAAACAGCCCTGCCTGAGTCATTTTGTTATGATAATGTCTTGTTATTACATGAACTGCTCCTCTAGAGACATCAGTCCTTACAGTTTAACTCTGATGAAACATCAACACAAACTTACTTCCACCTGCTACTCCTGTGTTCACCACATCAGGATCTATAGTATGCACTGTGGTGTACTTTTTAAAATGTAAGCCATTTGATGTCTCTTGCAGAAGTATAGGAGTACCTTTGTAAATGCAAATAAAAGCCATACTCTTCCAGTGTCATGATTTGGTTTCTTATTTTCAAAGTTTAGATTTTCTTGTTGTTTTTAGTTCTCATTCTTTTCTGATGGTGTTGTTTCCCTTGTGTGTTTTCTAGTTTAGTCTTTAGTGTTTCATGTGTTATTTTGTAACCTCGTATCCTAGTGTTTCTTTATGTTCTAGTGTGTTTTGTTACATTCTTGAGTTCTGTGTGTCTTTAGTGTTTCATGATTTAGTTTGTTGTTCTCCTCAGTGTTTCATGTGTTTATTCCTGCCTCTGTGTTTCCCAGTGTGCCCTCATTGTCTTCACCTGTGTCATTAGTCTCACCTGTGTCTGATTACCCCTATGTCTATTTAGTCTCTGTGTTTCGTCCCCTCTGTGTCAGTGTATGTTGTTTTGCCAGTTGCCAGTTTTGCCAGTTGCCAGTTGCCAGTTGCCAGTTGCCAGTTGCCAGTTGCCAGTTGCCTCCTTGCGTCTCCTTGTTTTCTCCTGTAGGATTTTGTTAAGTAAGTTTTGTTTGATTATTAAATACTTTTATTTTATTCTGCACTTGGGTCCACCTCTCCTTGTTTTACACACCGAACCATAACATCCAGAATGTGTAGCTTTTGGTTTTACTTAAAAACATAATTCATATGCAGGACCTCTCAACATTCTGCTTTAGTTTTCTAGCTTTAGAACATTATGTGTCAATTTAATGCTTGTACCTAAACTACACGCTACCGCATGCAAGCACAAGCTAACTGGCTGTGTTTGTCACCTGCCTGTTCAACAGGAAGATGGCAACCTCCTCAAGCAAAGCCAACACAAGGTTTACCTTTGTTTTAGAACGAGCATTGTCCGCTTGGTGTTTTGGCTCACAATTATTTTGTTTCTCCCTTTTTGTCCCCGCCCACCACATATATTGTGTTGTATCCACTCCTTAACTCACTTGCACACTGTCAATGGCTGCGGGAAACTCCCCCTGCCCCCCAGCTCCCCACCCAGAAACATCCCGTGTCAACCAAAACAAAACATCAAAATATAGACAGAGGACAGAGCCACATTCACCACCACATATGGAGGCCCATATGTGATGATGGAGTAGCATTACTTTTGTATAAGTCTATTAAAAAGCTGCTGACTCTATATCTTTGACTCGTTCCATGAAATAAAAACCTTGAATCAGCTTTTTAAAATGATTGTATGCTTTTATTTTTAATTGTCATACAAGAAGTAGTCACACATGAGTTTTAAGAGCCTAAATGTGATATGCAAAATTATAGCAACATTTCATTAAAACTTGTTACACACAGACACGCACACACTCGCACGCATACACACACACTTATACACATAATACTGGTCCATAAAATTTGGCCTAGATAAGTCAAAACAGAGAAATATTCTCAACGGCAGCTGTCTGTCAGTATAACTCAGTACCACAAATATACATATATACTGTTACATCAAGCACTCTAAAGATAAACTCCACTGGAGTAAACTGTCATTTCACAAGATTTGATCAAACCATATACACTCAGAATCCACCAGTTTAAACAAGAATGAAAGCAAAAATCAAATGTGAATTAAAGTCAAAGCAGGACAATCGTCAAATAAGTGAGAGCTTTGCTTTTACTACTTGTCCATCAATGTGATGAGACAACAATGAACGCCACCATTAATAGAAGGGCTGGAAATATCTTTCCTACACAGTGAGGGAGAGTTCACGTCCCCTCAGGTCTAAAAGTTTCTGTCAGAGTCTCTACCAAGGCCTCCACATGGGGCCTCTGCTGCTGCTGTCCTTCAGGATGGTAGGCCTGAGTGGGGAGCAGACTGGGGAGGAGACGCTGGTTCTCTGGGTCTTATGGAGCTGCTGTTGGCCCTGTAAAGGACTGACAAGGGCCTCTGTGTTGGATCCAGCAGCGAGGAAGTGCGTAGAGTTGCTCCAGCAGTAAGAGTATCCCTGGTTGAAGTCACTCTGACAGAGGCCTGGCTGCAGCTGCTGCCTCAGGAAGCTCACAGTCATCTCCAGGATGTCTGCTTTCTCCAGCTTAGAGTTGGGCTCCTGCTGGTGGAATTGTTTCTCCAGGATGATCTTGAGTTCCTCAATGCAGCTGTTGATGCGGTCTCTGCGCATTTTCTCCACAGCAGGTTTTCTCAACTGGAGAAGAGAAGAAATGTGGGTAAGAAAACCATTCAAATCAACAATAACAAGTCATTTGAAGCTGATAGAAATAATTGAAATCCCCTCCGGTACTCACTTTGATATTTTCTCTCTCAGATATCCTGATATGGTGAATGGAGGAGTAGTTGGTAGTACAGGGAGCCATGTCTGTGCAGATAAAGTGAGCTGTTTCTTCTGGACAGTGGTGTGAGATCTGATGTCTCCAGGGGAGCTGCTCCTCATTTTATACTGAGCAATTAGCATAACAAAGCCATGTGGCTGAGGCAGGGCTGGGGTTCCCACACTCTGACCAGTGGGACTCCCAGCACAACAATGGGAGACATGTCAATAACTCAAAGAGTATCTGTGTCACTGTGTGAGGCATGTTTCCCAAGATAAGCAAGAGGTAATTAACAATTTATCAAGCGTCCATCTGAGAATTTATCCAAGTCAGAAAAAAGGTATGTAAAAAAAGGAGAAGCAGGTAATGATACAGACAAAGACAGCATCTTCAAAGGGGGTAACTGCAATTAAGGCCAAATGCTTCACTGCAATAAAACACTATAAGCTGAACAGCTTAAGCTTTTATTTTCTCTTCAAAGAGAGTCCCCTTCCTGCAGAAGGCATTTTGGTGCATGGACAGGAGCATTTGGACACTTGTCAGTGCTCTATATTTTGGGCAAAGGCTCTTCACACTAGACAAAACAAATGTTAAAATAGGGAGAGCAAACTGTAGTTGAAAAGTCTTGTAGTATTTGCTTATATTGTGTTTGTTTATATTCAATGTTGTACTTTCTACATAGCGAGCACTGTTCACCAAAGTCAAATGTGTGTGTATGTGTGTGTGTGTGTGTGTGTGTGTGTGTGTGTGTGTATGTGTGTGTGTGCGTGCATGCGTGCGTGTGAGTGTGTGTGTGTGTGTGTAAGCGTACCTGGCCAATAAAGCTGATTCTGATCTTGAGAAGTTGCCAGGTAAACTAGTCATCAAAGTCAGCGAATGACGTCAACTGGCTGTTGCTTCCCTGCCACATGCAGCATCATGTTTTTCCGCAGTAATGAAGTGTGACCAGGCTATAAAACAACACTGTTTAGACATACACACCTATCAAAGGTTTCTGCTGCTGACACACTTCCGGGCTGTAAAATCTGGCAAGTGTGGCGCACGTTCTGGCGCGAGCCGAAAACCCCATGGGTGTGATATTTAACTGTGAGTTTCTCTGAGCCTGTCTTCTTGGTATTCCTCTAATCAAAAATGCTCACACATTAATTCCAAAACATTATAAGTGTACCTGTAGAGTTATAGCAAAATGTCATCATTGCCTTTACATGAATTGTCAGCTATTTTGACAGCTGCATTGACATTTAGAAAATAAACTTTCTCTTTAAATCAACAAATGATAATTCTATTTTTATTTCTCACATACTGGATGGCATATTTAAGATACATGGAGAACCAGAATAGGGCCTACATTAAGGTTTTTTGTCACTTATAGCCTATATGTCAATGATTTCTGCTGAAAAAAGTTCCAGTCAAACTTTTATCATGAGCTCTTGTTTTAATTCCCCTGAGACTCTCCAGGCCCTGATATCAGGCCTCCATCACTGGCCCAGATGTGAAGCCGGCCTTGTGGGTGCAGTGTGAGTAGTCCCGTCTCCCTAGTTTCCCACCAGTCCCAAACATCAGGGTAAATGAGCTACAAAAGACATGCCACTCCTTAATGCTCCGCTGGGAATGTTAATTGATCTGTTGTTGCAGGACAAACAGAAACTCTGTGTCCCAGTCCATCCGGGAAAAATCAAGTCAACTGGCTTCACTGCAGTCTGCCTGGCAAAGAGTGGTTTGTCTGACTTTAGTCTTTGTTGACCCTTTTAATTTGAGCATTCAGGCTCCAATTTACAAAGCTGAAAAAAATACTCAAGTTTTCAGTAAGTGAAGGTAGACAACATAGGAAGGTTTCAATAGCAACGGCAAGATTTCTATGTTGAGTTTGCAACAGTCAAGATAAAAGTAATGTTACTACAAGCAGTGAAATGTACACAGAAACGTCATTTTTAAATGAAATATACCTTATACTGTAACTAAATTACACATGCATAAATCAAAAATGTGATGCCTGATAGGTAATATCAAGTTATGAAATCATTAGAAATCCACTGAAATTAAAGATGCAGCACAGTAGCATCGACCTCACATTTTCACATTAGTGATATGATCCTATGATCCTATCCAAGTTGATAGAATTCTCAAAAACTATTACAAAAATAATGTCAGTTTGTATCACTTCATCACAGGACTATAAAGTGCAATATGTAGGCTACATTGTGTACATGTGTAACCTTATGATACTTTGGTGTCATTCGCTGCTTTGAATTTCTCTCGAGGCACCTGCATCCAGGATGTTGAACAAAATTCTGAAACCTGTACAAAGGCGATCTCTTCACCACATCTGCAACTAATCCATTTTTATTCTTGCTGGGCCCTTCTCACATTTGGACATACATTACTCAGTCCCCATTTTCCTCCAAACCCATGCCCCTGCTTCCATCACAACTTTTTAAAGTAACAAGCGCTACTCTGGCAGATACTGAAACCCTACTCATGTTTTAGTTCATATCTTAAGCTCTCTTTTAATAAATAACAAAGCATTGGAAACCAAAGAAACTGTCAATTTTTCAAGGCACATCCATGCCTGCCTTTATTATCTTTACTCTCCATCGATTTTATTGTCATCATGTGAGTGTGAATTTGTGCCTCCACTGAAAGTAAGTGTGCACTACAAGGCTGCTGGGGGTCTTTGTCTACAAGTGTGTGTGAAGATGAGCTCCCCTCCCACCAGCAGCCTGGGAGCTCTGAATTCCTGCCATAAAGTCTCGGCCATCGCTTAGACCTGTGGCGGCACAGAGCGGCCTCCCGTCAGCCATCTCTCTGTGAGTGTGGCATTTCCCGTTTCCCACACTCCGTGCCTATTCACTGGCCCCAAGATGTGAACAATAGAAGTGTGTCTTGTTACACATCACATTAGCTACGGTGTTTGATCTCTTGTTGAAGGGGGAGGGGGATGCAGCTTCAGCCAGACCATCTGGTCTGGCCAACTAGACCCTGAGAAAGTCCCAGGCATGCCACATTCTCCACAACTTCCACACACACAGATAGTTGTGAAAGACTTTTGTGGCACTTGAGACATAATTCAAGCACTAGACAGCATGCCACCACCACCACAACAGAAGTGGGACATGTGACATGTAAGGGTGTCCTCATGCCCCAGTTTTCAAATTCTTTTGGAGCACCTTAGCACCAACAAGGTCAGATAGGATGCAACTTTAATGAATGCTGTGGGAAATACTGGGAAACAAAAGCATGATGCACAAAAATTGGCAGTTCATTAAAAAAGTAATCTTTCTTAATAGCATGATTATATTTTCAACAGGTGTTATAAACGTATGTGCAGAGGATTATTTAATAATTCATACTGCAAAGAAATCAGTGCATGTTAAAACCCACCTCTATATCCATGATATAAAATACAGTTTTGATATGAAACACTGTTCAGCTCCCACTGTTAACACTAAAACAATTAAATATAGCCTCTGGCCTGACTTATTATGGCGTACTTCAACTCTTAGTAATAATAATTCTTCAACATGTGTAATGCAAACTGTGTAGAATCTTCAAGTTATAATTAGCTCTAACTAACTCAACTCCATGGCTAGAATTATGTTTTATCATCCCTTATTTCTATGGTGTTATTCCCTTGAGCCAAGCACAACAATAAAGATGTTGTTGGTTGAATGCTGTGCAGACAAACACTGGTGTGTGAAAAAATGTGTGTAGTCCATGATTAAACTTTTTCCAAACTTTGAGTGAAACACAATCTACCTGCTCTTCTATTCATTTAGTCATTCACATAAACTTCAGTTTCTATAAATGAATTTATGTTCTATCTCTAACACTCACTCCTTGAGTCTTTTAAAGAGAGTACAACACAACTTTTGTATATGTTTGCAAAACTTCATTAGAAGCTTTTGATTTATTTTTTCAAGTTCAAGAAACACTTCTCAAGGAAGCAATTGAACAGATTCTATTAGAAACATTGGGCTCAATAGAAAACACCTTTACGAAAGGTATTCATTTGAAGATGAAAAACATCTATTACATCAAAACGGAACAGTTAACAATTTCAAGAGTAACACTTCACACATAATGTATCCAAATAATGTATACATTTAGTATTGGTTGAGTAAAATCATAATAAGATTTACAGCACAAGTAGATCCATGGGATCCATTCATAGGAGGTTGTAAGTTCATCAACTCCAAGCTGATGAGTCATCAAACAGTGATACACAGTATCATCATCATTCACAGTTGTTGTCAAGCAGTGTCTCAGACACTTCAATAGTTTCAACCCAATGGGGTTTTTTAAAAAGCAATTCAATGATGTTTGCAAGACAAACAAAAATGTAGGATTGTTTTTCCCCCAGGGGAACAGTAAACTGATTCACAGAGTAAAATCTCTTAATAATAAAGTATAATAGAGTGTATACACATCGTGTACATGTTCAGTTAAACCTGAATCATTTCACTTCTTCCAAAGGAATACTAGCACATTGTGCCCATTTCACCTTACTTATAAAAGGTAAACAACTGAAACTTCTGCCGAAGCAAAAGAAAACAGACTCCAATGAGTCTTTAACTTTCTGTCCATGACATTCACAGACGCAGTTCTCTTTCTCTCTGTGTGAAGGGGACTCTGCCTCCTTCCTACCACGGCCTCCACAGAGCACCACCAGCCTGGCTCTGGTCCTTGCTGGAGCTGACCCGATGTAGTGGAGAGCCTGGAGGGGAAGGGGTGGAGGCCATGCTGGACACTTGCAGACCCTGGAAGTGGCCCAGCAGCCTTCTGTGGGCCTGAGTCTGGACATCGCAGTGGGACAGGAAGCTGACGGCCTCCTGAACGCAGCGGGAGTAACCATCGCTGGCCTTCATCAGGCCAGGGGTAGCGCTGCTCTGCTGATGCTGCTTCTGCCAGCATCTCAGATAAGACACAGCCATCTCCAAGATATCTGCTTTCTCTTGCTTGGAGTCAGGCTGCTGCCTGAGGAACTCAGGACCCAGCAGGGATTTCAGCTGCTCGATGCTGGTATTGATGCGATCTCTTCGCAGTTTTTCCACCATTGGCTTTCTCAGCTGAAGAAATGAAAAGGGAAATCATTTAGAAAAAATTCCAACCTTTTTTTTTAAATTTATGAACACAGTTAAAAAACTGATTTTAATGCATTTGGAAATCAAATTTACCTTATGAGCAGGAGTCAGGTGTTCCTTAGTATAGCTTGCTTGTCCAAAGACATTGGGTGCCATGGCTGTAGAGCTGTAGAGAGTGTTCTTGCTTGTTCTGAAGAGCCAGTTGAATCTGAGCTGCCTTCTCCTCTGCCTCTGCCCAGTATTTATACACCCAAATCTCCATATGAATGTGTGGGTCTTGGGCTTGTTGGAGTTTCTCACAGTCTCTGGGCCAATGGGAGAGCTGGGAAGGGCTTTGAGGAACGCAGGGCTGCCACATGCTCAATGAAGTGTTTATAGCCATAGGGACAATGAGTGTGTCTCCGGAGAGCAGGTGGAGGAATAGACTGAGAGAGAAAAGAGCCCAGGGTGGGGTGGTGGGGAGAGAGGAGGGGGCTGTAGCTGGGAGACTGACCCTGTGCTTGTGTTGATATGGGAAAGTGGTGACCCCAGAGAGAAGCACACCGCTGTCTCATGTCATCTCCACCGCCTCGTAATTGAGCACAAAGTGCCTCAGCCACCAGGCACACGTGGGTGTTACAGAGGGCCAAGCATTAGAAAGAGCCAACATGCAGCCACTTCCACCGGTTTGACATGGCAGCTCATGGAGCTGTGCAACAGTTGAGACATCTCCAAGGTGAATAAAGAAGACTTTTATCAAAGTTTCGGGACTCAAATCTAATCAGCGTGTTGAAACAAAGTGGGATTTTGGCCCACCCTGCCTATAGACTGTTAATCAACATTCATGAAAACCTGCATCTTATTCAGCGTCTTTGTAGAAATGATGGTCAGGTGTGCTAGTCCTTTATAGTTTACAGACCGAATACCATGCTTCAGCCTTGAATAAACATGTTGTTGGGTTTTTTTTGTCCAGAAGGACAACATTGTCGTCCACCTGTGTCAGACAGATTCTCAGAATGATGACACTTGTCAGGTTGTTTGCTTAATTTGCCAATGAGACCCTGAGGACCATCAGATGTGGTCAAATCATACTAAAGTCAACCGTTAAAAGAAGGTTGGTTTTATATGTGTACAATAAATTACACACCTGATTTTCATTGTATCCTGTCTATTTATAAGAGAGACAAATACATCATTTATAGAGATATTTTCAGGTGTTTTATCTTTAATATTAAGGTATCAGTAAAAGTAAGGTTTTTTTTATTTCCAATAGTTTTGTGCCATATGAGATGACCCTGTTTAAGAGCCTGTTTTGAGTCTCTGATGTACAATATACTAACACTGGATATATGTTGTGAAAAATGGATCAATTGACAAGTTCAGTCTGACCACTTTGATGTAAAGATAAATGGTGTAATAGAGGAAAACCACCTCCGTTGTAAACATCCTTACAGTCTCCACACTCCCAGCACATGTTCACACATCAGGCAACTCTCTCCCCCCCACACACACACACACACACACACACACACACACACATACACACACACACACACACACACACACACACACACACACATTCTCATACAGACAGCCACACTCTCATCCACTTTCCCTCCCACTCACACACTCTCTTACACACTCACACAGCTGGCTGACCTGGCTGCCGCTGGCCACGTCTCAGTCACACGCTCCCTTCCTGCCTGTGTGGAACGTGGGAGCCGCTGTGGTCCCAGGCTTCCCACACTTCAATGTTAATGACACTGAGGCCGGCTGCACAAAGGAAGTGTGCCCCATCGAACAAAGATTAAGTGACCAACCCCCCCTGCTAACAGCCACACACACACGCACGCACACACACACACACACACACACACACACACACACACACACACACACACACACACACACACACACACACACACACACACACACACACACACACACACACACACACACAGCACTGTCAACAGGGCTTCCAGGCACACCATCTGGACAGATCGTACGCTATTGTCAGCCAATCAAGCATGGGAGACGCTCACCGTGAGAACTGGAGAGGCTGAAATAGAGACAGAAAGTTAAAGAAGAAAAGAAAGAATGTGTTTGTGTGTGTGTGTGTGTGTGCGCGCATGTGTGTGTGTGGGGTAGAAAACTTTGGAAATAGTCTAATAGAGTTTGTTTTCAAATTTTGTAAATGAAAACATCTTAAAACCACAAGTGGTATCAAATTAAGAAGCTGTAAAAAGTTGATTATTATAATATAATTAATACAGATAATAACAATAGACACTGTGATGTTGTGATTTCTGATCAAGGTTAGAATGTTTTTCTTTTTTGCAGATCTTTTAAGGGCACAACAGATTCTGTTTACATGAAGAAAGGTGGGAGCTCAGGTCTGATGCCATTTGCAGCATTGGATGTATCATTGCTATCCACCATGTTGTTAAAGCGGATAAAACAATAATAGATGACCACTGGCAGACCTTTTCCCTTCATGTTCCCACCACAGATCAATCCCAGTTAAAACAAAAAAAAAAGGATTTCTCTCTGGATGTGGCACATCAGCTGATGAGAGACAAGAGGCAAGTGAAGGGCCCCTCCCACCTGTTTGTTTGGATTGGGGCCATTGTACCCTATGAATTCAACTAATTCATTCACATCCTATTGTCATAACGCTGCATTGTGATTGGTCAAACACTGTGAGAACCAGCATCACATTAAATCGATGGGAAAGTTGGCATAAGTATATAAAGAAGGGAGGTCTTCATGGGTAGAATCATAACCCTGAAAACTTCTTGTACATGAAACAGGCCTGGACTGACTGGACCCCGTCCGACTGCATATTCACCATGAGAGATCAGCACACAACGTAAGCTCCACTGGACAAAACTCTTCTGTAGAAGTAGATTTGACTCACTATGTTTTGCTGTTTTTATTTTTGTGTGTTTTGAGGGCCTGTGTTATTGCATTGCTGCTGGTGTAGAAATTTGATCACAATTAACAGTATTCGAGATAGTGATAGAAACATTGACAGAAGTTAAAGGGTCAGTTCACGTGAATGAGCTAAAAACATTCGGTCATTTCTCTGTTGTGAAGCTAAATTTTGTTTCATTTGCATAATTTTGGAGATCTCTGTCCCTGGTTAATTTTCCATACCTAAATCACACATTTTTTTATCTCCAGGGGAATATTCTTCTGTATAAAGTCTTAAAATGTAAATTAATGGCAGGGAAGATGGGACGGTTAGAAAGGTTGAAAATCTTTGGTCATTATTAGCACAAAAGATCAAAACTCCATTCACATACTTTGAGTTTGGGTGGAAACAGATAAACAAGTGTGTGCATAAGGTTTGGTACCACTTGTTTTAGAGGGAGAAATGGGTCTCACTTGTGTATCTAGTCTTTATCTGATGTTTCTTTATTCTTTCTGCTCAGCATGTGCAAGATGATGACTTTTGAGAGGAAGTGCACAGACAGAGCAGTGAGGCTCCGCTCAGCACTGGAGAGCCAACTCCACACTGGGGCATCCAGCTCTGACGTCTGGGACAAGACTGTGTCCTTCTTTACAGTAAAGAAGGCTTTCATTTTCCACAATGGCTACAACAAATCCTCCAGAGATGCCATGAGGTTGTTCCCCTCACCTGCTGAGGATGTTGCACCGCTGTGCTGTCAATAACAAGTGGACACAAAGACAACATGAAGCGGGATGAACCTTTTGGGACAGTGCTTGGGTTGGTCTTACAAGCTGCAGAGAACTGAGCATGGCAGCATTGTGTCAAGAACTTCTATTGAAAAGTATTTCCTAATGGAAAAATAACTAGATAACAAAAATGTGGGTTTTTTTCTTCACAGTTTTGGGGTTTGAATTTGATGTAAAATGCCTTAAATATGGGGGTTTATACCATGTACACTGTGATCTTATTGGTCCACAAACGGGCCTTGAAATGTGCATTCTCTGCCTTAAGTCATTGCAGTCCTTGAAGGAGGTCACATGAAGACCAAACTGTCAAGGTTCTGTTAAACTAAAAGCCATATTCCTTTCTTTAAAGGATAGATATGTATGCTAATGCATACTTTATTTTGTTAATGTTTTTCAGACATTGTGAGAGATGTTATTTTTTATGTCATGCATAAAATGTGTTGTTGAAATAAAATGTGCAATATACAAGTAAAAAATAAAGTGACATTGTGATTACCTAACATTTGTATTTATGATACAATATGATACACTTTATTGTCCCTTTGGGGAAATTTGTCTTGGACTCAAAGTGCTGCCGAACATTCAGCTGCTTCCACACACTTGAGTCCGGGTCGCAAGCAGGGCAGCGCCACCGGTTTAAACTTGATAATTTTGGAGTTAGTTTTAATTTTTATAAAAGGTTCAGTTTGATTGTTCATATTATGGTTGCTGCATACATGTGCAACACAGTTTAAGAAAGTAGGGGTTTTCTTTTTCATATCTAATTGTCTTGGTGAACATCACCCTCTAGTGGCCACTCATCCTCAGGTGGTATCCACAGTAAGCTCCGTCTCTTCCTTCAAAAAAAAAAAACAGATGACATTTGTTTTAGAACTACAATATTTGAAGTACAGCAGAATGCAGCGGCTCTTCAGCTGTATCCTCTAAAGGACCGTAATTGCCCTTGACTTGTTCAATGCCCATACTTTAATAAGCAAGAGTGTACAGAAAAGAGTAAAAAAAAGAAAAAAAAAAAAAAGGTAATTGATATTAATTCAATTTAGTCATACATGTAGAAAGACACAGTTAAGTGACACATTTCTACAACAGATTTCACATCATTTGTCGACTCATCCTCACTTCTGGTGAAGCTAGAAATCAGAGTAGTACATAATTAAGGAGAGAAAACATTTTATTGACCCCGTCAAGCCCACTCATTATCAGGGCTGTGAAGCTGAAACCGAAAGATGGATATCAGATAACTTTTCTTTTCTGAGACTTATCGATTTTTGCATGTCAAAATCAAAAAAAAATCTTTGGTCATCTGGAAAACAAATGTGAGGAACTACTGAAGATAGAAAGTGATGCTTCCTTTTCTAAGAGTGTTAACAGCAGCTGGAACAGAAGAGGTAACCCTGGATCAGATTTGTAATTATTACAGCTTTATTAATCAGAGGCTAAATTGTAAAAGCAGACATTAAGCAACAGGGTAACATTGTAGCAGCAGGATCGGGTGAAGGAACATTTAACTGGATGAACAAGGAACCTTTTAAACAATATGTAAGTTTGAAAAATGTAATTCGTCACTGGGAACGGTAAGGGGTT